CCAAATTGAATGGCCCAATTCGGGTTTTACTTTTAAAGAGGATTCACGGCATGTCGAATATTTGATTGAATCCCAAGTTCGAATAATCAAAGACTGAAAATGCCCAACCCTAGTGACAAGGCCAAAAAAAAATGACATGCTTCCGATTATACATGTACATGGCACTTGAAAATAGGGTTGATAGTAGGCACTTCAGTGGGGTGTCAAATTACAGGAGTCTTAACCTCAACACATGCACACGCGGAACCAAGCACACAGCCTCAAATGTCCTGATGAACTTTGAAAAATCATAACAAAAAAAGTGCTCAACCGATCGTTTTCAAATTTGGAGACATTCATTCTGAGTATTTCATGTGTACTTCCACCGAAATTCATTGTCAAATTCTTCGTTGATCTGGTTTTATGGCGACAGAAGTAACGCGGTGCCCATACTTCGCGATCACCTTCTCGTGCCGATCTTGAAGGTCATGACGCGGCACCGCTTTTCGCGGCACTTCGTATGCACTCGGTTTCGGGGTGAAATTTTCCGGAGGGAAACCGGGCGTTCTGATTGGCTGGAGAGTTTCATCGTGAGCTTTTCCGAATAGATCCGAAGACATGCTTTCACATGGTGTGTGTTCTAGGTCGATCGGTTCACAAAGAGTGGAGATACGAAGTTTTGAAAAATTCAGCATCGTTTTTCAAGATGAAAATTCATGTTATTTACCAGGGAACAAGGTGTGTGTAAAACATTGATATTCAAGCTTTATATTGATATAAATGACAACGATCTACGATTTGAAAAAAGTCAACGGAAAGGGAAACGAAAATGATAGCACTTTTGGAGAGTTGCCTGTACGCACGTAGTTTGTGTGTACGGCGTGCGTGCACACGGCGCACCGTGGCTTTCCACTGCATGCCTGCCTGGATGCGCTGCGTTGGTCGGCCCGTCACTGGGCCACGTGGTGCCGTTTTCCCGTGCCGTGGGACAAATGTTGCTTTAATGCTTGGATCGTTTCGTCCGTGTCTGCGTCCAATTGCGGAGCTTTATTTCAGTGAAAATGTTCACTGGGGATAGTGAAAAGGGCACTAGCTTATATTTTAGTGTAAATGAAAAACAAAGATGTAAAGTGACTATGTTTTTCACCGTTTGTGACGCGACCGTTCCAGTCATCTACTTCGCCCCCAAAATGGACTCTCAACCACTTCGCCCCATATTCAATGCCGTTATAGTACTAACAGCCATGTTGCCCCAATGTCAGTTCGCCCCAAATATTTCTCCGCGTATTAATTATCCGAAAATCATAAAAACAGAAGTCTATATTCCGCTATTAAATTCATCATGATCATGTACATGTCATTCCTACTTAAATATGGGTAGTGGTTTTTTGGGGGTAGTTTTTGGTATATAAACTGCAACTTTCAAGTTTCATAAGTTCTATTCCTCCATTCCAAGTCTTAAGCCTTTTTTAAGTTTATAATTATCATTAATTAATAACTCGTTGATATAATTATATTCAAATTACATGCTCGGTTGTGTTACATATGACAAACAAAAAGGCAGTAGGGGGCCTATATCTCCCATTCGAAGTTTTAAGTGTTCGTACACAGTCATGCAGGCCTACTTAGCTTTGGCTGTGCTTTCGCATCAGATTGATAACATTTTCTAATTAGAGGCAATTAATTAATAAGGTTGTGACTTTTTGAGCATGAGAACAAGTAAGGCACTTTTCCTTTAACATTCTGGGAATATTAAATAATGTGTACCTTGTATATCTTGTTAACAGCGCACAAGTTTGCTAATTTTAATTAATTAATATGCAAATAAGATGCAGGACTAATTAATTCTTTTGATTTTATGTGCCGAAAAGACAGCTTGGCATATGTAGATTATATTCTGAAAGTTTCATGTACATGCAATAAATATATTTCAAGTTATAAGCCAATAAGTGCATTTTCATGTGAATTCAACGGTGCCACCCTTAAAACAAAGAAAATAAAAAGATTGACCTTTGACACGGGACTTCTTTGCCATTGACAAAAAGTGGAACAAAAACGTCCGTATCTCCGTAACGGAAGGTGCCATTTCAAAAATTTAAAAAGATTTTTAATGCCATTGACCTGCCCTTTCATCCTATAAACATTTTAAAAACAAAAGAGCAACAACAAATTTTCACCTAAAGTGCCTATTGATAGGTAAGGAATTTTTTTTTGACAATTTTTTTTGTGTACGATCATATGGAGGTGTCGGCGTGTAGTCAAGGGTAAAAGGTAGTAATTGATGGTTTTCGGTTTTTTTCCCTCATTCCCCCCCCCCCAAAAAAAAAATTAGGTTAGGGGCTGTCTCAATAGGGTAGGTAGGGTACGGTACATGTAACCTGAAGCAGAACTATTATTTTTTTTGGCCCAAGACGTGGGGATGAAAATTGACGTGTATTCAAGTGGTGTTTTCGTACTGGATTTTAACCATAGTAAAAATACTTTTTTTTACAAGAACATCATTCAAAATATCACCCAGTTTTTTACATTTTCTTCTGACAAAAACCTTGAATCCTAATCTCATCTCATGCTTAATCCGGGATGGACGTTTCCGTGACAGTCAAGTCAAGGTCAGAAACAACATTGTGCCTTCAATGAATGCAAGGGAAGCAGTAAATTATCCTGCATGTGCTGCACTTGTCCGAGATTGACGACAGATGATCGCAAGAATTCCCCTAGTCCATTGTGTCAGATGTGAAGTTGTTAATGTTAAAAATCCCTATTTGTACTTTCAGTTCATAAAATCTTAAATGTTCAAGTCAAGGTCTGAATCAATATTGTGCCTTCAATGAATACAAGGGAAGCAGTAAATTATCCTGTATGTGCTGCACTCGTCCGAGATTGACGACAGCTGATCGCAAGAATTCCCCTAATCCAATGTGTCAGACGTGATGTTGTTAATGTTAAAAATCCCTATTTGTACTTTCAGTTCATAAAATCTTAAAGGTTCAAGTCAAGGTCTGAATCAACATTGTGCCTTCAATGAATACAAGGGAAGCAGTAAATTATCCTGCATCCACTGCACTTGTCAGAGATTGACGACAGCTGATCGCAAGAATTCTCCTAGTCCATTGTGTCAGACGTGAAGTTGTTAATGTTAAAAATCCCTATTTGTATCCAAATCCATTTATTGCTGAAAATTGCAGCAAAAGCAAATGTTGTACATTCCCTTTAAGATGGAGCAAACATTCAGGCAAAGTCCAAGCCAGTTACATTGAATAGAACGTCCTTTCATCCACCCGCAAACAGAATTGCGTTACGCTCTTGCGGTGGACATTAGCATGTCTATATTTGCTCCAACATAAATTGACCTAGATTTGTGTACGTTGGGTTTGCCATTTGTTTAACGCTGCATCGACCTTTAGTGTGCGTCACTTGCATGCCCTGCAGTGAGCATGCTGTACATGTACTGGTGTGTCCTTATACTGACCAAAAAGATGCCCATGCTCGTTGTCAAAATACCATCATGACCATTTGGAATTTAAGAAATTTATGTTCATTTGAATGGATATTTTGTCAAACAAAATCCATTTGCAATCCATACAAATCGGAAAAAAAAATCTACCTACATGTACATGTAGAAGTAGGGTAGGGCCCTGCGCCAAATATATCAAATGTACATGGGGAGTCAAAAAAAGCGGAACCCAAACCTCCAAAAATTATTTCATATTTAAAAAAATATGTAGCACCAAAAATGATAATGACTGGAAAGGAAATTTCTTAAGCTACATTTAGATGAAAAAATACTGAAATTGCTCAATCCGTTCAAAGAATATCACTTTTTAAATTCAATAAATTACTTTTTTTGCGTGTAAAAGTTGATTTTCTGTAAACGGATGGAGCAATTTCAGTAATTTTTTTCAATCATCTAAAAGTACATTTTTTGGCTTTCCAGTCATTATTTTTTGGCGCTACATATGTTTTTAAATATAGATGAAATATAATTTTTGGGGTTTGGGTTCCGCTTTTTTTTCAAATCACCCTGTACGATCATCCACCATCAGGGTTGCAAATTCCCGGGAATTTTAGATTGGAAAGTTTTCACCAGGAATTTTGGGAATTAACAGGTTTTTTTGATGATTTCGGGAACTTTGGATTTGAAAAAATAATAAATTATTCAAAATTGAAACATGGGAATCACTGTGTAGATTAGGGTACTAAATAACCGAAATACTTTATTATAAGAACATACAATCATAATAAACAATGGGGAATGATTAATAATCATGTCTCATTTGTTTTATTAAAGAAAAGACTACTTGTCTAGATATTGCTGCTCTGTCAAGTTTTTGTTGCGTAACACATCTTAAACGAGTACAATGATTTTTAAACAAGAACCACAGACTCAACAGTGATAATTATAATGATCTTAAACCTTATTTAAAAAGGCCATTCTATTTTAGTAAGTTAAAGGACTACTTTATCAACTATGTTGTGGTAAAATTCCAAGAAGAAAAAAAAAAAATCTTCAAAACCTAAACCAAAAAAACCCTATGGGCATGATGGGGGTAGCTCCAGGATGTCACTGGCTCTGCCTCGACATATTGACAGTGATTGCTGGAGGATTGAGGCGGTGGTCACCCCTCCAAGGACCACATTCAAAATCCTCCAACTGCCTCCATGTAAAAATTGCATACAGCCTCAATCCTGCAAAATCCTCCCAAATCCTCCGTTATTCCTTGAATGTGATCATTGGAGCCAGTGACATCCTGGAGCAGCGCGGAGGATTTCAAGTTTAATATATGCCTAAATTTATGCACGGCTGAGCATAAACAACACAAGGTCCGGCCCAAGACCTTGAAACAGTGCATCCTCCGCAATCTGCCACACACTTTTGCCATATAGCCTCAATCCTGCAAAATCCTCCATATTGCAAAGGGGAATTTGGAGGATTTTGGAAGGTTAGTGTTAATCAGTACTCTGCGAATAGAGTTGTCATTGTCTTTCATTTTTCGTATTTTATTTTTTGTTTTTGTTTTCAGGAGTGGGCGTGGCTATGGCGGTCGTGTCGGGCTATTTCTGCCTGTACTACAACCTGATCATCGCCTGGACCATTCGCTACATGGTGGTGTCCTTTCAGAACCCACTCCCGTGGGTAGGCTGCAACCATACCTGGAACACCCCGGACTGCTACGAGAGAATCTCATTAAGCCAAGGTAAACTTGATTTTTTGTCTTTTTCCCATTTCAAATCTATTTTTCCTTTCCCTTCATTTCGAAAACCATTACTTGACAATAAAATTCTGTCAGAAGAATTCCATTCTCGCTTCATGTGTTTGTCATATTAGCGGATGTCACCTGAAAATGACAGTGAACAAAAGTTTTCTTTCTAACAGTTTTGCTACAGAATATAAATAAAATAACATCATGCTTTGAATTGAAAAAATGTTAAGAAATGTTTCCTTTGTTAAATTCTATAACGTTACACTTGTGGGTTCCGCCTTAGTGTGGCTGAATGTGTTTTCAAAAGGGGAATGTAATACTGTTCCGTTTCATTGAAGCGAACAGTCATGCTTTACTGGCAAGAGTTTGAAGTTGTTTGTTGTTGCCGCCGGTCTTTGTGCTTAATCCCTCCTAAACACTCATTCATGTAGACATCCGGCAGCTTAAGCTGTAAGAATGGCACTGAAGGATCGCTGTTAGTCTACATGCATGTGTATATATATGTAGCAGCCTCAATAGACTGTATTAGACAGGCATGCAACTTTTCCTCGGATCAGCTGATTTCCTCGTTTTTCACTTCCCACTTATGCCATTCAAAATTGAAAACCACTTGCATTGTTGCTACAAAGAAACCCAATAGAATTTTGTTCTTATGCTCAAACAGATTCAAAGTGTCACTACATTGTAGGTTAAAAAAAATTATTCCTTCACCTTGGTTAATGTACAATGTAAGACACTGATCTTCGGCTAATTTCATGGTGCTGTTTAGCACAGAAACTTGTTATCGGCACTCTACCAACTGAGCTATCCAGCCCTATGTTGGCAGTTCCCCAGATTAGTTTTGATGAGCATGTAAGGAATTACATACATCCTTATTTTGATAACAGGAAGTGCATGTACATGAAAACATGTACGTACAGCAAAAGTGCTCCTAATTTTCATAATTAGTTGTTCCGTGTTTTCTTTGCAATTGATTAGACAACTGTAAAGGGGTACAAGCCTACTAGACTAACTCTCTGACCTTACAATTCCCCAAAGTCTATAAAGTGCTCTGTTTCATCTTAATTGGGGTCAGGGAGCCAGACTACCGGTACAAGAACATAAATGGTTTTCTTGGTTTTACCAGGATCTACAAGCCCAAAACGTGAAAAAAAAAGTAAATTTAACAATATTTGCTATAACATACTAATCCTCAAAATCCATTTATTTCTGAAAAATTGCAGCAAAAGCAAATGTTGTACATTCCCTTTAACAACCCTAGGACCATTGTAGCATCAAAGTCGTGCCAGCAAAGCAACCAACTAACCAAAAAACTTGACATAAACATCCGCCCATAATTGGAAAAGACTTTCGTGATTCATAAATTCCACCTTGGAAAAAAAAATCCAATTTGTCATTATTCATGTTATTCCAGGCTGCCAAGAATGCAGCAAGACCTGTTAAAAAATGTAAACGACATCAGGTGGGGTAACAGGCACATGATGAGTCATAGGGAACATGGTGGCGTGAGGCCAGAATCCTTCTAAACATGCACTACCAATTGCAGCAACATTCAATTCTGTGGCAGCTGTGGCACTTTTTGTTTCTTCTTCTGCGTGTTCATGTAGCTCCGGTACATGCGCTTAAAAGGGAATGTACATGTACAACATCTGCTTTTGCTTCAATTTTCAGAATAAATGGATTTGGAGGATTAGTACATGTACATGTATGTTATAGAAAATAATGTTGAACTGACATGTTTCACGTTTTGGGCTTGTAGATGCTGGAAAAACCAAGAAAACCTATCATGTTCTTGTAGTCTGGATTCCTGACCCCAATAAGATGAAACGGAGCACTTAATACACTTTAGGGAATTGTAAGGTCAGAAAATCAGTCTAGCAGGCTTGTAACCCTGCAGAGGTGTGTTATCAATTGCAAAGAAAATTCAGAAAACTAAATATGAAAAATTAAGAACAGTTTTTGAAAAAAAGCCAGTTTTTTTCCAACGCTGGTTGGCCGACCAGCGTTGGAAAATGCAGTTTTTCTTGAAAATGTCAGCACACCAGGAGCCATGATTTTAAAGGATGCTTTAGACTGTCATTCCTCACAATCCAGTAAGGTATTTCATGATAATTTGATCATTTCGTTTTTTGATGTTTGCAAATGTTGTATTTTTTCCCTTTAATTTCAAATTCTAGATTTCCTATGAATAATCAATTGGCTTACTGCAAGATGCTTGAATTGGACGGTCAAAAGATATGCAGTGACCTTCCGCATTTGCCATCAAAGATTAATAATTAAAGCAAATGAACTATTTTACAAATTTGTGAGAAGAGTTTTTATAAACCAATGAATCAAAAAATGTTAAATTTTAAACAAATTTTTCCGGGTCCCTTATTTTTGTATGCAGGTACTCATTGATGTTTACAAATTTTGTTCCATTGTTAACAGTCTAAAGATATCGATATCATTGCATGTTGACAAAGAAACAGATAATCTTCATTTTCTTGGTAGAATAAGCCTTTTGCGGAGTTCCAACTTCGCATTCATAACCTGTGACAATGCGCATTGTTTGTCTCAAATGGCCTTTGACAACATCGCGCCACTGACTTTACAAATAGGCTGTTTGTGCATTGTGGGTACTGTCAAAGGGCATTTGAGACAAACAATGTGCGTTGTCACAGGTTACGAATGCGCGCAGTTGGAACTCTGAAAAGGCTTATTGCATTTTTGTTTTATTTTGAAATATCCACAAGTCACAATTTAGTACACTGTATATCATATGTACATGTACATGGTTGTATGTGTTTTTGCCAGAACAAAAACAGATAGGAAGACAGTAGTACCAGTATGGTGTTCTAAAATGGACAGGCAAACGTCGTGTGCGAGAGTTTGAAATGTTGTGTGTGTGGGCTTGTTAAACGTCGCGTGTGAGCTTAAATGTCGTGTGTGTGAGTAGGGCTCGCGCACTCGCTGTTTGCTGCCGGTGATCACTTTGTGTACAAAACATCAAACCCCAACGGCATGTTTTGTTGGAATCTGTCAGGATGGGCACAGTACCCCTAAAACTGACAGTCTTTTACAATGGGTTGGCACACCTCCAGAAACTAAGTCAGAAATATGTGTGCACAGTTTCCCATATGGTGTTGGAATTTGCCAGGATGGGTATGGTTCCTAGTAAATCATGCCAGGGAGTTAGGGTTAATACAGCTTTGAACAGTGCTCCCAAGCGTCAAAGATGTCAACTTTGCCCGTTCTTTCGATACTTCTTCTCTCACTCCCCCCCCCCCTCCCCCTTCCACCAAATCCTGGCTGGGCCCATGCCTACTGGACAACAAAAATAAGCTGGGTTGCCTACCCTCCTTAAATCCCTTGTGGAGACTAACATAAAGAGGCTTACATAAGAAATATTTGTTTTTTCTCCACTTCCTCTTCTAAAGGAAACGGAAGTGTCCCGTCCGATTATCTGATGACCTATGACCCTGAGGACCTGAACGAGACATCCACACTGGACAGCTATGACCTGTTCGTGAACGGAACGGGCAACGGAACTCTGAATGCAACGGCGCAACCAGAGCAACGCAGAGTCCGGGCAACTGAGGAGTTTTGGAAGTAAATTTATTCATTTTTTTCCTCACCAATTCTCCAGTTGTTACACAACTATTTCTATATTTCCTTACTTTTATTTATAACGGCATTATTGGGCTAGCATAATTCTGTCATTCTGTCATATGCAGAATGAAAAACTCGCGCTAATTTGCAGTATGAAATTTCCGTTGAGGCGTTGGGTAAATCATCAGAAACGTTCTATGCCCAAACATAATTTCATCATGTGGTATAATGCTTAAAATAACCTTCCCCAATCCTCCAAAATCCTCTTTGCAAAATGGAGGATTTTGCAGGATTGAGGCTTAATGTTAAAAAGTGTGTTGCTGATTTCCGAGGATGCACTGTGTCAAGGTTTTGGGCCAGACCTTGTTATGTTTATGCTCAGCTGTGCATAAATTAAGGCCTAGATTATACTTGAAATCCTCCGCACTGCTCCAGGATGTCACTGGCTCTGCCTCAGCAAATTGACATTGATTGCTGGAAGATTTTGTAGGATTGAGGCAGTGGTCATCTCTCGAAGGGCCACATGCAATAAGTAAAGGAGGATTTTGCAGGATTGAGGTTGCATCCTGGCAAAAGAGGGAGTTATGGTTAGGACTTTCAAGCCTAATGAAATTGGTATGAGAATGTGTTCAAAATATGCGCATATTAAGAAGTCTTTTTTTGCACGTGAACTGCAGTTTGTGGTACAAGCATTGTTTGGTCTTTTTAAAACTTTTCTCTCATGATTCTGTTTGAATATAAAATGCCTGATTAAAGCTAAATAAAAAATTTGCTTTTGCTGTAATTTCCAGAATTGGACGGATTTGGGGGTTAGTATTTTATAGCAAATATCGTTCCACCGACCCATTTAAAGTTTTGTGTTCATGGATGCCGAAAAAAGAAGAAGAAATAATGCTGTTCTTGTAGTCTGGTTGCCTGACCCCACGCTTCAGACGAAACAGGGCAATTTATAGATGTCGGGGCAATTCAGGTCAGGGAATCAGACCAGCTGGCTTATGGCCATTCATGGGTATGTTACCAATTGCAAACAAAATGTGGACTAACTACAATCGGTCTATTGAGGGCAGTATTTGAAAACAACAACATTTTTCCCCAATGATAGTTGGCCAAAAATGATACAAAATTCCACTTTTCTTGAAAATAACAACACACCAGGTGCAACGATTTCACAGGATGCTTGAGACTATTTACTTTAACCCTAACCGCCCTGAATCCTCCAAAATCCTTTTTGCAAATTGGAGGAATTTGCAGGATTGAGGTTACATGGCAAAAGTGCGTTGCTGATTTCGGAGTACGCACTGTGTCAAGGTCTTGGGCCGGACCTTGTGTTGTTTATGCTCAGCCGTGCATAAATTTAGTCCTTGATTATACTTGACAACCTCCATACTGCTCCAGGATGTCACTGCCTCTGCCTCAGCCTATTGACAGTCATAGCCGGAGGATTTTGCAGGATTCAGGCAGTGGTCACCCCTCCACGGACCATATTCAAGAAATAACGGAGGAATTTGCAGGATTGAGGTTACGTGTATATGCTATTTTTCCATGGGGCCAATTGGAGGACTTTGCAGGATTGAGGCTACATCCTAGCAAAAAGGCCTAGGGAGCTAGGGCTAATACAGTCAAGTGATGTAGGCCTATTTCATAATCATTTGGTAGTTTCAATTTTTAATGTTTGCACATGTACATGACCTTAACAAGCTTTTTAATGCAATACATCAAATTGTACAACTTTCTGTAGTCTTGATTGAAAATCAATGTTTGTCAAGTGCTACTGTATCTGTTGGCAACGTGCCAAGTCAACATGCTTATCTGCATTTTATCTGTTATTTTTTGAAAGTAAACAACCACCTCACGCTAAAAAAAATGTAAAATCTGAAAAGCTAAAAAAGTTTCCTGACATTGACTTCAATCCTTTTGAACAGTTCAATACCCACCCAGTTTTAAACTGTTTGTTTATTTTGAAGACATTTGTTATTATGTTTTCAGTTGACCTTTGAAATTCTAAAAGTTTTCACGACATTCGTTTAAAACCTAATATTATCTGTTTGTTCAGGACCTGACCTAAATCTATATGTACATTTATAATATTGGACTTGTTAGTCAAATATAAATATGTATGATTGCACCACTTTTTGCCTACCGGGGGATTTCTGTGGAAGCTTGTTGAGTGAACAGTCAACAAAACCCTTGTGATCTACATGTAGCTGAATAGATCTGTTTACATTTTTTATTACCATTAACCCTATTCTTCTAGAGTGATTTACTAGGGACCTTCCTTACTCCTACAAATTCCAACACCATATGGTAAATTGTACACTTGCACTCCGATTATGGTATAGGCCTAACCCCATGTAAAGCATAATCAGTTTACTAGTGCAGTACCCACTCCAACAGATTCCAACAAACCCTGGTGTTGGAGTATGATTGGATGGGGATTGTAACGGTTAATAGAAAGAGAAAAACCAAATTTGTTCAAGAGTGTGGGGAATGCAACATAAATGATAGGAAAAAACTTGTTGGTGGGATAACATTTTGTCATTTCCATTGTTACGGACTTTACGTGTACATTCAGAGGCTACTGACCAAGTTGAAAAATTGTAGTGGAAGCAAATTTTATTGTTCGGCACAATTTTAGTTTAGGCCATAATGTACAACAGGACTTGGTTAATTTGCAGTTTAATAGCTCAATTAATTGATGAGATATTTATATAAGCACTGTAAACAACTGTTATGGATGTCACACATTCTGACATAGGTTTTGATGGTCAGTACTCATTGATAAAAGTCTGTGACGTTTCTTGTAAGAATTCAATGAAATAAATATGTTGTGGTAGATGGCTTCACTCTATTCAAACACCAATGAAATTTGGTGGATTTTGAAAGATGTTGGAAGATTAGGATTGGAACTCAATTATTCTGCCAAAGTTAGTGTCCGAGCTCTACCTTCCTCAATCTTACAAAATTCTCCAACCTCTTGATTTATTTTGACGGATGTTGGAAGATTGTGGTTGGAACTCAATTATTCTGTCCATATTATTAATAGTGGCTGTTCTCTACCTTCCTCGATCCCACAAAATCCTCCAATTCCTCCTGGTGGACATTGAAGGATGTTGGAAGATTAGGGTTGGAACAGGAATTTTGTTAATCAATTGTTCATTTTGAGTGGTTTGGGGTTTTTGTTGCAGATACCGCGTTCTGAACATTTCGGAAGGACTAGACGACATTGGCTCCATCCAGTGGCCGTTGCTGCTGTGTTTTGCTGGAGCGTGGGTCCTGGTGCTCTTCTGTATCATCAAGGGAGTCAAATCCTCAGGAAAGGTATTCCATATACACACATGTTTATATGCAACTGTCCTTGAGCAGGATGTTTTATCGCAATAGACCTTATTCACAAGGAAGATATTTTTGATCATGTTCCCTTAATGTATTTTGTATACTGTAAACTGTTGAATAGGATTGGTGCCCGACTATTTATGCGTTCCACATGTTTTTTTAAAATGTTGCTTAAAATATAGGTATTTTAATCACATTTTAAATTATTCATCAAAGCAGGCTGGTTTTAATTTGTAATTAACCGTATGTCATTGCTTTCGTTTACATTCGCAAGTTCCAAAAATGAAGATTTTGACCTTACTTGCAATTTGATATGGCCGACATTAAAATATTGGTATTTTGATCACATTTTAAATTATTCATCAAAGCAGGCTGGTTTTAATTTGTAATTAACCGTATGTCATTGCTTTCGTTTACATTCGCAAATTCCAAAAAAGGAAGATTTTGACCTTGCCTTAAATTTAATATGGCCGACTCGTGAAAAAGCCTATTGTACACGCGGCTTTCCACTAAGGAGCAATTGTATAATGCTTCATTATATGCGCATTGGCATGGCACTGCTTCATCAGTGGCACTGCCATATGGTTTTGACATTTTACTGCAATTGTACAGCAAATTATGTACATGTAATACTGTTTAATTATGCGTGCTGCCTCATGGTAGCATTGTGCATTATAACACCTCGCCCACAGATTCTGCGTCTTGATTGGTCGAGAGCGAGTCACATGTTACTTTCTAATTTTGCTATCTTTCTGTGCACGGCCAAAAGTACTATACCCATAGCAACCAAAGTACTATACCATTAGCAACCAAAGTACTATTTCCACGGCGCGGTATTTGTGTGCAAATGGATGCTGGTGTTCGCATTGCGCGTTGTGCGTAGCGCGTATTGTTCCAAAGAGAGCGTGCCGCAGAGTTGGGTTCAAACATTTCGTGAAGGGGTAGTTTCAAAGAGAGAAATACATTTTCCACCAATTTTGTATTGAAATTGAAGTTTATTTCAACTGTGTTCAGATTTGAATAATTTAAAATATTAAAATCAAGCAGAATCTGTGGGTGAAGTGTTATAAAACAAATATTGAATGCTTTATCTCGTGGTGAAGTAAAACTAGCCTTCCTCGGTGATCCATGGACCATTCTATTTATAGAATGTCCATGGATCACCTCGGGAGGCTAGTTCTACTACACCACTAGAAGCATTCAATATTTGTATACTATTCTCAGAAAGGTGAAAATATTGCCATAATTTCCCCGAGATATTTCTGCATTTGTGTTTTCCTTCAGTGAGTTTGCTTCAATAGTTTGCATAACTGGGCCACCGGAATGCATACTTGCAATGTATATTTACCCTCCAGATAACCTCTGATAGATAATGTAAACATTCAAGAGGTGTATATTTTTGTTAGTGAATAGGACTTATCTGAAAAATTGGTAATCTGTGTACATGTACGTGTACGTACCATGCATTGCATTGATAATATGTGCATAATGTGTATTGCTTATGTTTATATGTTTGGCTCGGTTTTTTTTGTTGGGGGGGGGGGACCACAGGGGAAAATGAGCTGTTTTCAAGACTTATTTTTAGAGGATGAGCCTTCTACACATTGATTTCTATGTGGAAAGTAATGAAAAACAGAAAAGAAACACACATACTGAAATTTGTATCCTTGTGGAGACATTTCTTTGTTCTCCTGTACTAAAGTTTTCAAGTTTGAAAGTACAGTTTCAAAATGCTCTTACCGGTATTTTATAACCAGAATTACATATGTACCGGTAATTTGCTTGGCTGAAATTCGGACTTAATATCCCTTTTCGAAAACTCTACCATTTGCGACAGATCAACGTACCTTGGAAATTCCTAGTTTTTGAGTATAATCCATATATCTATTTCGTGAAATCCTTGTGGAGATGTATTCATCTACAGAAATTGCCCTGTGGAGACGTATACAATCTTTTGTTCCCTATTGTGTGCATGTCTCCAGAGGGCATGGTGTATCAGATCACCCCTCCTCCCCTTACTTTCTTACCTTGCAGGGGATACCTCTGAGTGGAATCCACAGCGGCCTTCTCTTGAAATAACATCAGAAGTAGGTTTTGTTTTTGTGCACTTTCCCTCATGGCGGCTTGACTTGTCTCCTTTCGCAGGTGGTGTACTTCACGGCCACTTTCCCGTTCCTTGTGCTGTTTGTTCTCTTCGTGCGCGGCGTGACGCTGACGGGAGCCAAGGAGGGCATTATCTTCTTCCTCACCCCCCAGTTTGACAAGCTGCTGTCTGCCAATGTAAGTCTGCAATATTTCATATTGATACCTTATTTTTTATTGTAACCTCCTTTGCAGTTAAAGAGGATGTGGAATGCTCGAAGACATTTCCGTCATTTTTCGGGTATATGTAGCCTAAGGTGTGATGAAATAAAAACGACTATTGTTTCTGTCATGAAATGAGTACAAAAGGTACTTTTGAGAGCTGTTTTTCAGGTCCAGTTTCGACCCGAACGTGCAACTGTGTAAATGTCGTCGTTGCGGGCAGCAAGTCGTGACGTAATAAACAGGACTCCCGATGCACAGTAGCATACACGAGTCCTGTTTATTACGTCACGATTTACTGTGTTTTGTTTGCTGCCCGCAACGACGACTTTTACACAGTTGCACGTTCGGGTCGAAACTGGACCTGAAAAACAGCTCTCAAAAGTACCTTTTGTACTCATTTCATGACGGAAACAATAGTCGTTTTTATTTCATCACACCTTAGGCTACATATACCCGAAAAATGACGGAAATGTCTTTGAGCATTCCACAACCTCTTTAACTTCCTTTTCAACTTTAGGCCAACCCGGTGTTTATCACAGCTTTTTGTTGACCAAGGTTTTGGGGCTCATTAAATGTAAAAAAAAGAAGTAAAAGTGTATCTAGCAAGGCCAACTCATGAACCATTATCCCTAACTCCCTAGGGGGTGTGCAAAATCATATTAAAATTGGAGGATTCAAGACTGTTAGGATTATTGCATGTCTTTGTATGTTCATGTGACATGTACTCTGTTGTTTCTGTATGGTGTGTTCCGACTGATTTGGTGAGATTGCCTCACAATGAAGAGATAAAGATTGAAGATATTGGGAAAGTACATGTAAGGTAAGAGGATGTTTATGGCACTTCTGAAAGTCATTCTCCAAACCATCCATCCGAATCCTGTGGGTTGGACTGCCACTGGACCGGCACTGGTACCGTCCTATTGTCTCCATCCACACATGCACCATCCATCAGGCATAGTTTCATTGACAACCTCGTTTCCATGGGTACGATCTTGCTGCGCCCTGTTGGTTCCCGTCATGCATTGTGCGATCTTAACCCTTGGAATTGTGTCATTTAAAAATGTGCCAAATATTGGCACATTTAAATTAGGACCGCAGTCGATGTATCGCAGTGCTTGACATTTTGGAAGTTTTGTTTGTGTAGAATTAACAATCCTTTCAAACATGAGATTTCGACGTCACATTATTTAGCAAGGATTTATATTAAATGTACGTACCTCTGTCGTCCCTTTACAACCAAGATGCATGTTTTTTGGGGTGAAAAAAAAGAGATTTCCATAATCCATTTCGTACAGGCATCGCACAGTCTTTTTAACAAAAATGCTCGTACGTAACGTGACGTGCAGGAGATAACGCACGAGTACATATATGGAGTGCAGTCTTCGAAATACGCTTGCAGTACGCTCTGAATAGCCGGTTGTTGTTGTTTACATGCTCCTCACGGCCAGGGTTTAGTGAAGGAACGCGCACGCGCCCATTTGTCGAGGCTGGTTCATTGAGATCTAATAAATGCATCATGGTGTCAAAGGTGAAACTGAGCCTGCGGTCATGAACTGTGACCTAACGCAAACACCAAGGATCAAATGTTACAACCTGGACCCAAGGTCGTGGCGGGCGACACCAGTGACCCAAGGTCATGACATGTGACCCAAGGCCATGGTATGTGACTCAAGGTCATGACATGTTTAATTCAAGGTCATTACATGTGACCCAAGGTCATGACCTTTAATCCTAGGTTACGACGTGACCGAAGGTCACAGCGTGACTCACGTTATGACTCAGGTTATGACATGGCACCCAAGGTCATGACATGTGACCCAGGTCAAGAACAGTGATTCCATGTCACAACTTGTGACCTTGGGTCGGTCACAGGTACTGTTTATCAACAGCTACTGTTCATCAACAGCTACTGTATCAATAACCATCTGACATTTGAGTGCATTGTTTTGATTTCCATGTACCAGGTCTGGAAGGCAGCAGCCACGCAGGTGTTCTTCTCCTACGGGGCCGGATGGGGTGGCATTCACACCCTGGCCAGCTACAACAAGTTCCACACAAACACCTTTCGGTAGGTATCCCGTCGGCGGGGACCTGTGCAATGTTGGCTTGAGCAGGAAGAAGTTTCAAACCAGTAGTGGAATCAGGGTGGGGATTCTGGACAAGAAGTCTAACTTTTGAAAATAACTTTGATACTTTGGTGTTGTTCTGCTTATTCTGGAGTCGTCTAAGAAAAATTTTAATTTTCAAGGCAGAGAAATTTTTGAAGAAAATAGGGGGAAAACCTAAAAAATTGTTTTGAAATGAACTAAATACATATTTATCAACTCGGCCAAATCCATTCAGTCATTAAAAACCCTCATGACTGCTGCTGGTATGAACGCATGCATGAACATCATGCCTCCTCAAATGTACGGTATGTCGTCAGAAGAAAAAAGCGCATGGAAAAGACGTCAATTTAAGGAGAATGATTAAAAATTGCGAAAAGTTTTGGAGAAACTTTTTTAAAAGAAAATCATCTCATAATGCAATCCTTTTTTTGTAAAATTGTCACGGAATTTTACTTCACACATTTTTTTTTTTTTTTTTGAAGACATACCGTACAATCAGCCCATCCAAAAACATGTCAAGGTACTTCTGTTGAGCTAATAAGTTGAAAAAAATTGTTTACGATTCACACTTTGGGGCATACTGTAAATATGCCATCATTTGGGGGAAACAATAGAATTGAAGACAAACAAAAATATCATGAGATTTTACTTGTGGCGCAAATTATAAAGACGGGCGTTAGTCACTCCAAAATTTTTGGACGGAACAATTTGTTCACTGGTAATTTTTTCATATATGCTCCCACAGGCATCCGAAGTACTTTTCACATGTTTTTGTTTTGTGTACAAATTTGTCATTCCAGTTTGACATTTTCAGACGCTTGAGAAAAAAAACATGTCCAGTTTTCGCGGCGGAATACTTAAATCGTTTGCTTATTCTTTTCATTGGTCATACAACCAATGCTTCAGTCATATTCTCCATAACCCAACAGAAGTGATTAAAAATCCTCATCACCATGGTTTGATTATCGCAAGCAAGACGAATATAGAATGTCACAGATGATTTTTTTTTTCCCACGTTGACAAGATTGAGTTTTATTCACTGGAATATTTTCAAAACATTTAGCGAATACTCCCAAAACTGTCCAACCAGTGTGTTTTTTTTGTTTTGTTTAAATAAACCAGTAACCCATAAACAAATGATTGCAATCATGCGATAAGTCGGTCAAAGTTGGAAATGGCGTGATTCGTTCTGGCATGTTGCCATTTTAAGGTTCAACTTCTGAAAAGGTCAAACTGCAAACTTCAATGTGTTGTTGGTAGCTGTTGAAAGTCCAGAAGGACTCTTGTAATGTATGGCCAAAAAATTGTGAGATTGCGTTTGAAATGAGCCGCTACATGAAACAGCCGTCTGGCTGTTGAGAAATTCTGTGCAGTTTCATGCGCGTCCAAATGGGGAAACATTGTATCGCCACGGGTTTGCGCAAAAATGACAAAAGAATTGCGATGTGATCTAGGTGTACATGTGAATCTATGATTCATTAACTTGATGGTTCTGACATGTTTGCTGTTTGGGCCCCAAAAAAAATATGACAGGCAGTGTTTAATTGTAGTGCACAATTTGTATAGACGTTTTTACAGACTGCACAGAATCTTGGTAATTGTTTGAAGCTTGGCTTTATGTGCACTATTTCAGTCAGTAAGTAGTTCTTTACTTAAAAAAAAATATTGAAAAGCAGGAAAACAAAAAATTGTTGATTTGATTAAGGGCCCGTTTTACTTCGTATCCGGGACGACTTCCGAACAAGTTGCGGACATTGTATTTGTATATAAGTTGCAGGATTCCGAACAACTTCTCGGCAATCTTCCAGCAATGAAGTTGTCAGTCACGAGTCCAGCAGTTATGAGTCGAGCAGTTGCTAATATTTGATGCAATCAAGTTAAATAAGTCCTTTGTCGGGAACTTTCATTTGGAGATTCAGGCCAAAATAGGGCCACTACATCACATTCGGGCCAAAATAGGGCCACTTCATCACATCACTTCATCACAACTCTTGGTGTTTTCCGACTTCCATAATTTTTCAATTAAAGATGGTATCAACATGCGGTTTTCACAGCAGTAATGCTGAGATTGTGCTCTTTTCAAATCTGTAAAAAAAACAAAAACTAAAAAAAATTACCAGGGTCGATAAACGACTTAATTAGGTTGATTGCATCACATATATGTTTCTCCGGAACATGTCCGGGACAAAGGCAGAGCTTCCTTCGGACAAAGTGAATGATTCTACCCGCAACTTGTCAGGAACTCGTCCCAGATATGAATTGAGAGAAGGGCCTTAAGGAAAACTAAATCTCCGATTGTACAAGTGAAGTGAAAATGCCTGCAATATACAGGGCACAATTCCATACAAGTTTCAAGCGATTGTTGTAGCAGCTCATTTTGAAGGCAAGGCGTTTTGAAAACTCTCTACTAATGAATTTTCAAATTTATATCTTCTTGAAGACAGGCAGGACAACTTTGGAAGACAGCCTACGTGTGTGTTTTGCCCACTTACATAAACAGTCACGCATATGATACTACAAACACTGGTATATATTGAAGCTTTTCGGGTTATTCACACAAAAAAAACTTTTAACAGATAAAACAGATTCTCTCAACTTTATATTAAACTTTTTTAGATTTGAGTGTGGGTATACATGTAATATATAAAAAAAAATGTAATGAAACCTTATTTAATCATTGGGCTATCTAACCAACCAAAAGGAAATCTATGCTTCTCCGCTAAAAATTTATTTTATTGTATAATTAAGTATTTACTAAAAACAAAAACTATGCTGATATATACTGTTTGTAGTATCATTCACAATATAACAAACTATAACACATAACATTATTACAAAACTGAATGATTTCCATAGGATCCGAGCAGTCAGGTAAGAAAAGAAACAAAAAAATATTTCCGACCTCAAAGGAATTGGTTGCGTGGGGATTTGGTTGAAAAAAATTTTTTTAACTAAAGTTTGTACAAAGCCTTGAAGGATTTTCTTCGTGAAAAACTTTATAATATCCAATTTGGTTTACTTTGATTATTTTTCGTTTTGCCAGATTTGGCATTCTTACTAAAATCCCCTGCAAACATTGAGTTTTTGGTCCGCAGTGACATTTGTACACACCACTGTGAAATATGCCCTTTAAATTTGAGTCAACTGGAGCATGAATTGTTTTTCTCTTTTTTCTTTTTTCTTCTGCGCCAGTCTATGGTTCGCCATGGAGGCCATGCTTTGGTTGACGGTTTAAATTTAAAAAGTGCACGGCTTGTTCACATACAAAGCATAATGATGAAATCGCGTACGACAGAGTGCAGTGTTATCCACAAATTTTGACTAATTCTTGTAAAACTCAGATCTATAATCCATCGCACAATAGTCGTTCATCTATGCACCGCAAAGAACATACAAAACTCGCATTCAGATAATCACTACATGCCATCTACATTACGAGGCATAGATGTGAACTGGGGAAAAAAAACGCTCACCGTTTTCTTCATTACGGTCATTTACATGTACCGTACATGTACATACATGTATGTCATATGGCATAGGTTTCATCATTGTGCGTTTTGGCTTCTTACAGTTGATGATAAAATGCAACACAAAATCACGAGCTATCTTGGCAACTCCTTCAGTACATAATCATGCTATTCATTTATTTCCTATTCACATGAAAAGTCGGCCACTGAAAACTAAGGTTACTATAAGCTGTAAAAAAAAAAAAAAAAAAAAAGTGCTGAGAAACAATGGAGTAATAGTTCCCTGTGTTTTGTAATGCAAATTTGTCATCAGCTAACCTTCCATGTGGACAGGCCAGCAGACAGACACAACATCAAACAAATACAATGGGCAGTTTGCAACAAGTGACGTTTTGCGTCTGCCCATTGGTTGCAAACACAAAAAAAGAGAAAAGTGTTCTGCAGGGTGCTTACACGGTAAAATAAATATCTCTTTGATACGGCAGAAGGCTATAAAACCCTGTGTCTGCAAGGCCGTGCTGTGCCGTCTACCACGACAATGGGACACGTCGATCGTGCCTTTGCGATTGTTCCATTGTGAGGTAAAAACCACCATCAAATCAGCGACCCCTCTTGTTTAACAAAAATTGGAGACGCACGGGCTCCGGCGGCGGCTGTATGGATCAAGACTTGTGGTTTTTTGCGTGCAAAGGATAAGAAAAAAGGAGGACAAATCATCTGGATTTTTCACTCAACAGGTTTCCTGGACACTTCCTAAAAGCTGGCCAAAAAAAATTATGGACACTAGACTTGGAAATATTTCACACACGACACACTTTTCACTGTTGCGTTTGTCCCAAATGCCCTGTAGTAGTTAGTTTGTTTTTGCACATACGTGTCCGTGTATGAACTATGAAGGACTTTACACAACTTACGAAGCTTGCCTTGTTGCCATCGTCTCACAGAAAGTAGCTTGGAAGCTGTTTCAAGATTTCAAGGGGCAACTCTGTGTCATGCCATTTGCTCTGAGCTATAGATCCTAAAGCACAGTTTTCTAAAACATCTGCGATCATCAGTGACCAAAACTCTGGGAAATCTCCCTTTTCTTCCTATTCTCTGAGAAAGCTTATTGGAAGGGTCCAGGAAACCATTTTGAGAGAGAGCGAGAGAGAGAGTGTGTGTGTGTACAAGGTTCGCATGCGAGTGCAGCTCTATCAAGCTTGTCCACAGGACTCCAGGAACTACCCCGCCAAGCTCCCAGATGCTTCCAAGAGACCGTCGGAGGGGAAATCTCAAGGGAGATTTTCCTGGAAGCATCCACCACAGCTCTCCAACAAATGAAGCTCATCAGAACATTTTTCTGTTTGGTGCCTTCAAGCTGCCACCAAATTTACGCGAATCGCCTCCCCTCCCCCAATTGTTCCCAAATCCAGCTCTCCTAAAAGGGAAGCTGAACGGAAGAGTTACTCCTTGTTTCAGCATCTTCAAACTATGTCTTGGAAGCCTCTGGGAGGTGCGCCTAGTTCCTCGGTAGTCTTCTGGAAAGGCTTTTGGAGTCCTTACAGGATTCTGCGACCCAAAGAGTTTGTAAAGCATACAATCTCCGGGCAGTCTGTTCCATCTTCAGAGTAGAGCAAGGAGCTTCGCGGCCTCCAAGTATCTGCTTTTTGGATTTACATTTTTTTTTTGTATCTTTCTTTTTTTTTCTAGCTGGAAACTCAAAACTTGCATTCTCCAAATTTGTTTAAAATGTTTCTTTTTGAATGAGATTGTTTCCTTGCACTAATCGATTCTTTTTTCTGTTTCATCACCTGCCCTCCTTCCTCCGATTGACTAAAAATAAAACAGAGATACCTTGGTCATCAGCCTGTCCTGTGCTTTTACGAGCGTCTTCTCGGGTATCGTCATCTTCTCCATCATTGGGTTCATGGCGGTGGACTCCAACCTAGAAGTCAAGGACGTAGTTGCTGCAGGTGAGAAAGAATAATAATAGTAATAATAAGGGAATAAATATCTGCTTGGGAGGTTTTAATCACTCTGTTCATGACCGCTTGGAATTTGGGTGCTGATAATTACGCGAGCCGAAGGCAAGGGTAAGACCAGCTAGCCATGTCTTTATCATCCGTTTAAGACCGGCCACGTGACGGTCTCTCGACCAATAGGAATGGGTAAACTGTCTAAGGTATTTATGAATGTGTATTATAAACACATATATCCACAGGTATTGGTACTTAAGGCACTACATCTTTATTACCCTGCTCATTGGGCCAGTGAACATTCCAAAGACAATCTCAGCTCTCATCGAACTAGATGAGTATATAGCTCAATGTTGCCATTTTGGCACAAAGCAGCTAAAATCTCTGTCTCTAACAGAGTTGTAACAACTCACTGATTCTTGCGACTCGAGTCCAGTCGAGTAATTTACCCATAGGGACTCGAGGTGATTCGAATCACCAAAAATTGTGACTCGGGTCAGACTCGAGTCAGACTCGAGTTGAGTCATTGACTCGAGTCATTACAACTCTGGTCTCTAATGTCATTTATCCTGCTGTATTAAAGGGAAGTGAGGCCTAGTGGTTAGGGTTTGTGAATTATGGTCAGGGGTTCGAGTCCAGCTGTTGGCCATATGTTATGTCCTTGGGCAAGCCACTTTATCCCCACTTGCCTCTCTCCGCCCAGTAGTATAAATGGGTACCGGCATTAGCAGGGGAGTAACCTGCGATGGACTGGCATCCCATCCAGGGGGAATAGAAATATTCATCAGTCTTTTCATGCCTAGGAAAACGGTGATGAACGCCAGCCTGATGGGCCACCTTGGCTCATGACTTACGTGACTACTTACATATACTTATCCTCCTGCTGTACAGGTCCTGGTTTGGCATTCGTAGCGTACCCGGAGGCAGTCTCCCGCATCTTCGCTCCTCAGTTCTGGGCCTTCCTGTTCTTCTTCATGCTGTTGACTGTAGGCATTGACAGCCAGGTAAAATATTGTCTTATATTTTTTTCTCAATTGTAACTTTCCACTTGTGTCATTTTTAAAAAAAATTGCAAAACTCAGTAGAAAATCTCCTGCGGCTTGAAATGTCCTTGTCTGTGTCTTCAGAATAGGCCATTTTTGGAATCACGTCAGAATCGGGTCAACGCAGCTTGTGAAATATTGTCCAATTGCATGATATACAAATGGACGCGGAACGCGCAAAATCTGAGACAAACAAAAAGTTGTCGAGACAAACGACAAACATAGGGTTGTCTATGGGGCGTGGCCAACTCGCAAACGGCGATAGGTCAATTCAGCAACTTGACTTAAATTGTCAAATTAAACATCGAGTAAAAATATTTTGTCTGAATTTTAGCAACGTGTGAACTTGCCTCAATAGATATCTCTCAAATGACGGCCCTGCCTACAGATTGTCACATGCATCCGCATTCTTGGAGTCAAATTTTCGTGACACGCATCGGCTGTGTCGTACTTCAAGTAACTTTGAGCAACATGCGCGCATGTTTGGAGCATTTTGCACACTACGCATACGCGTACCTGATGGTGTTGAACATGCATTTGTAGTTTATCTTGCGACTCACCAATAAGACTTAAGACGAGTCCCTGCTCTAAGATCAATCTTAGCTAAGATGCGTCCTAAGACCAATTTCACTAACGTCATCTTAAAGGGAAGATACAACATTTGCAAACATCAAAAAACGAAACGATCAAATTATCACGAAATATCTAACTGGATTGCTAGGGAATGACAGCCTAAAGCATCCTTAAAAGTTGCGGCTTCTGGTATGCTGACATTTTCAAGTAAAAGTGTATTTTTCCAACGCTGGTCGGCCGACCAGCGTTGGAGAAAACTGACTTTTTTCATATTTCGCTCCTAATTGTTCATATAGTTCGTCTACGTTTTCTTTGCAATTGATTACACACCTGTGAAGACTACAAGCCTGCTAGACTGATGCTCATGATCTTACAATTCCCCAAAGTCTATAAATTGCTCCGGTTCATCTTAAGTGGCGTCAGGGAACCAGACTACAAGAATATGATTGGTTTTCTTGGTTTTTCCAGCATCTACGAACCCAAAACGTGAAACAAGTCAGTGTAACAATATTTGCTATAACATACTAATCCTCCAAATCCATTTATTTCTGAAAATTGCGGCAAAAGCAAATGTTGTACATTCCCTTTAAGCAAGACGCATCATGTTTCATGTTTGTTTTCACCGCTTTTACGAAACAAGTTTTACTATTAGCTTGCCTGGTCGTTTTTTTTTGGTTCTAGTTTGTGACATTGGAGACGTTGATCACAGCCTTCATCGACGAGTTGGAGAGCATGTACCCTGGCAGGGTCCGCCGCTGGAAATCTTGGATCATCACCTTCGTCTGCTTGTTCATGTTCGTCATTGGTCTGCCTTTCGTCACGCAGGTAATGTGAAGTCAAATTCCGTATTTTTTGTTCTTGCCCTCAGGCACAGAAGCAGCCAATTTTATTTGGCTTCAAGGCAGAGGAAAGCTTATGCATGTATCCCGTTCTTAGTAAAAATGTCAGACGCGCCCTGATTACTAGCGCCCATTGGGTACACATGTAAGTTGTGTTTAACTCCCGGTTCCAATGGTTCCAATGGTTCCAATGCTACTTAATGGGCAGTGGGTGTGGTTTAAACTGAAGTGACGTCACACTAACAAACCGGATACTAGTCACAAAATGTGGCTTCAGTGATGTCTTTTTTTAACCTGTTCCAAAAGTTAAACAAAGAAATTGACTGGAGCGGGGATTGAACCTGAGACCTCCAGATTGCCATTCCGGTGCTCTACCAACTGAGTAGCCAGCCCTATGTTGGCGGTTCCCTATTTTGTCAATGTCTTTGTTCAAAGGAAGCTTTGTTGACCTGTTAACCAACTTCAATCATTTCTCTTCCGTTTCACTAGGGCGGGACCTACGTCATGACCCTCTTCAACTGGTACTCTGCCGGCTTCGCTCCATTACTCCTTGCTTTCGTTGAACTGATCGTCATCTCCTATGTCTATGGTACGTTAACCCTCACTCTTTTTTTATATTTGGCCAGGTTACTTTTATTGAAGCTGTCCAATTATTCATGTCAGTGTTCAGATCATCTACTCAATGAGCTGTCGGCTTAAGTTCATTGTTGCATAACATTACATAACATAACAATCAAATGTCATGCCCTTTCAAATAAAGCTCCGATAGCTGAGCTCAGTCAAGCGAAGGGAATGTATACCTCCGTGGACAAACAGGTTTCGCACATGAAATGTTCAAATTAGCATAGCTCAACGACAAAATGTGCAAATGCAATGATTTTTTTCGTCACATTTGCTTAAAGGCCAGTACTTTAATAGCTACTAATCGACAGTTAAAAATGATTTTTAAAAATAGGTGAAAATTGCTGTCAAATGTGGGTGTCCTTTTTTTGGAACCACACTGTAGTGTAGTATAGCATTTTTTTTGTAGAGCTTGTTGAAGCTGTTTACTTGAACAGTGAATTTTTTTGGGTGCTTTTCAGGTGTGGACAATTTCTTGCATGACGTGGAATCCATGCTGGGCTATCCTCCTAGGATGTACTGGAAGATCTGCTGGATGGCCGTCACGCCCGTCATCATCGTGGTATGAAAAAAAACACCTGTTATATTTTTTTATCATAATCAACCTCGTTCCCCTGGGTACGATTTTGCTGGGCCACGTTGTTTCCCACCATGCCTTGCACTATCTTAACCCCTGGAATTGTGTAATTGAAATATCCAACTATTAGGCCAAAATAAAATAATAATCGGTCTCTGGTCAGACCGAAGTTCCGGAATTGATGCGGCGATGTGGGTTTTTTGGGGGTTTTTTTGGTGTTTTTTTTTTTTTTTCAAGCTTGAATTGTACAGACAAGGTGGTACTATTTTGCTTTTTTGTGTCCTCATTATACATTGGTGTCCTCCATAATTTGCCTTGGTGCAATTTCCCAATTCCTTGGTGCTCCTTGGTACAAAAAATTGAGGAGGTGCGGCAATAGAGGGTGCTGTTGTAGCTTCTGTGTTAATTTGAAGGGAAAAAAAGGTTGACGCGCATGATTAAAATCGACGCGCGCGCTGACCAGAGACCGAGTATTTTTTGGGGGGGCCTTAGGGAGATGAAGTAGTTCTGGTCAAAGGTCATTCGGGGATAACATCGCTTACGTGATGTGACGCGAACGCCCATTCTGCTCGTAAGTCACATGCGAGCGTCGTGCGCCCGTCTCCCTGCACGTTAATGTGCGTTCGATGAGTCCTCGATTATCCCGATTGACCCATGACCCATATCATTCTGCGCATGCGCAGTTGAAATGTTGAACTGGCTTATTACAAGTCAAGTCACCAGTGTTCGCCACGAGGGGTTTTAGCAGGGCGGGCCGCCCTGCCAAAATTCTATGCCGCCCGCTAAAGTTTTGCCGCCCCGCTAAAATTGTCACCACCCTGCTATTTTTTTTTCTTCATTGGGGCGCATAGCACCCTCGGCTTCGTCTCGGGTGCTATGCGCCCCTCAGGTGTTCAAAACGTCATATCCCACATCACAGCGGTCAACAATTGTTAATTGCACGCCAGTGTATATTCACATGTGATGTATATGTACATGTAATATGTAATGTACATGTACATGTATATATTGTGTCTGCCGCCCTGCTAAACTTTTAAGGCCGCGGAGAACACTGAGTCACTAACGAGTCATCAATCACAATAGAAACCACAAGTTCAACCACAAGCCAAATCACTCTTCAAATCACAGTTCACACCAAGAGTCGAATTACAAGTCACATCGAACAATGTCAGAAGGAACTGGGTCATTCCACCGGGTTGGGAAGCAGTGAATGTTACATCCATATATTTGGTTATATTATTAAAAGTATCAATGCATTCTAAACAATTGCTCAACATAATATTTGTCATAGGGTGTTTCAATATTTGAGAAAGTTTGAAATCATTTGAAAGTACTTTGACAAAAATATGAGCAAAAATGTATTAATTTGGATGTAACATTGACACCGTGTCAATGTTACATCCAAAAATTCGGTTTTTTGCCATATTTTACACGTACACATATGTAAAATGTTACCCAAACTGACATTGCATATTTACAACTGGACACCTAAGCATGAAGAAAAACTTTTGTTTTGGTATAGTCAGGGTTCAAATATAGCAGAAACAATACCTCAAGTGTGGATGTAACGGTGTAAAAATCACTCAATGGAAGTGTGACATTTGGGTTTTACACCGTGTCCATGTTACATCCACACAACCAAGCTATTATTTCTGCTCCATTTGATGTCGGACTACCATAACAAAAGCTTTTCTTATTGTGTTGCATCTATAGTAAGAAGTACGCAAAGTAAATTTGGGTAATATTTCGCAGAATTTTTTTTAAAAAGGTACAAATTCATATTTGGACATAACACTGACACGGTGTCAATATTACGTCCAAAATGACATTTTTTGCTCATATATTTGGCAAAATACATTGAAATGATTTCAAACTTTCTGCAGTAGTGAAACACCCATCAACAAATATTATGTAGAGCAACTGCTAGCAAGGCATTCATACTTTTCTTAATATGGTCATATGTCACACTTTGTTCCCCAACCCGGTGGAATGACCCAACTCTGGCATTCTGTAGCTTGTCACTTGAAGACCTTTGATTGATTCATGACGACTTGCGATTGACTTGTGGTATTTTTTTGTGTGCAGACTTGCTGAGAACTTGGTCATTCAAAATAATTTGTTAAATTTACTGTCAGTTTGAAAATAATCGCGCAAGTTCAGTTTCAAAACCTATTTACCTAAACGTGAATGTACAAGTGTTCACCAGCCCAGGCCAGTCAAAGTATACCACTTCTAAGCAGTCAATATTCTTTATATTCCCATCCCTGCAGGCCATCTTGGTTTTTAGTTTCATTGACTACACACCGGCCGTCAACGGTGACTACGTATTCCCACCGTGGGCCGAGGGCGTTGGCTGGACGCTGACGTGTTCCTCGGTTGTCATCGTCGTCTCTGTGGCCGTGTACCAACTGGCGACGACCAAAGGAACCCTAGCCGAGGTGAGTTGTTGCATTGGTGTGGGTAGCTAGATAGAGTCCAGTAATTGACTTTGCGTAAAAAAAGAGAGGGAGTTTCGTCATCTAGCAACGATATTGTGTGTGAAGGACATGAATTGGCACTCTGCTTGGCTCAATTTCATGGAGTCACTAAGAAGAAAACACCGCTTCGCGAAAAGAAAAAAAAGAAGCTTAATCATAGTTTTGATCGTTTGGTACCTTTAACTATGATTATTTTTGTCAAATAAGTCAAATCTTTATTCCAATTGCACATGTGCATCAGCAAGATTTGATGAATTTTACTTTGAGATAAACGCGGCAGGAAAATGCACACGTCTTGTTCACGAGGAGGTCATTTTTGATCTTGTTCCCTGAATGTATGTTATACATGTAAATTGTAAACTGTTGAATGGGATGGTGCCAGACTATTTATGCTATCAAAGCCTCACTTTCAATTTTTTTTTAAATGTTGTTTTAAGCACAAGGGTATGTTTTATCACAAATTAAAAATTATTCATCAGAGCAGACTGGTATTAATTTGTAATTAACTTTATATCATTGCTTTTCTATTATTTTTATTTCTTTTATTAGGCAAAACCTAATTTGATTATTTCTATTCGCAAGTTCCAAAAATGAAGATTTTACCTCGCTTTCAATTTAATATGGCCGACTTGTGACTAAAGCCTATGGGGGACGTGGTAACCAAATCTGCTTTCTGCAATTTTTCATGCAATCAAAAAATACAATGGAAACTTTCGTTCGCCCAAAAGTTGGGGCATACAAAACACCTAAATCCCTTTGCTGATCAAGCTTTTTGAAATGTGGGGCCAACTTCACAACCAGACAATTTCTTTAATTTTGTTGGCAACCACTATATAAAATTTTGAGCACAATTGGCAAATTGTTTATCCCGAAAAAAAACTTGATGAGCACATGCGTAGTTGCGATACCGTTCTGGCTTATTATATTAATTTCTTGAAGTTTAAATGTTTTTTATCTGTATTGACATAACTTTGTTTTGTTTACCATATTAATCATATTTGCATAAACCATTTTCATAATAATACAAATTTCATTTGTAATTATTCACAGCGCTTCAGGAAATCAGTTAAATCCACCAAGGACTGGGGCCCCGCCCATAACGAGGACCGGCTCACCGCCGGGTACCGGCCGCTCCCTGGGGCAAAAGACGACTTGGAATTGACCAATCTCCAGGCTGAAGTGGAACCACCTGAGTACACTGATAAGCCAGTGGTACCTGAATCTGTGTGAGCTTAAGACGTAAACCTATTTAATGATTTTACTTTGCTTTTTTTTTTTTAAGTTAAGGTCCTTTTTATGACGAAGGCAATTTTGAGCCCGTAGAATTGCAAGATAGTTGTGGATAGTTCTGTTAACAAGTTCCGTTCCCAACTTTGTCAGTATTCATTGTTATTGTACCTCAAACATTTTTGTAACCGCCCACTCCAACATGTCAGGTTCAAATTTTCCCCTTTTTTGAGGTCGATGCAAATGTGGAAAGAGTACCTATAAAAGGATAAAATGATACCAAACTCGATGCAAAGTCACTTTTTTTTCGCAAAAGTCGACCAACCGTTTATATAATTTTCCATAAAAACCTTATTTTGTGATGTCACAAAATGCGTAATGTGTATATTACTTTTTTGCCCCCTGCGCCGCCACGGAATTAGATGTGACAATAAGTAGATGACGGGATGTCGTGAAAATTAGCTCTATAAATAGGCTTTAAAGTTCACCAAACCCAAATTCACCAAATAGGAGAATTGTCAGTCGTTCATAAATGTTCAGAACGTTAGAAGAATTCTACAAACTGTCTATTTCTGAGAAGAAAAAAAAAAAAGTCAAATCGGACAACGAACTGATTTTTCCACGCTTATGATGTCATAGTAGAAAATCATTTATCTGTGCAATGTTACATTCCGTCGGTAGTGGACGGGCAAATTTATGATCCGAATGAACTTCGTTCATTGTGCCAATGTTCCAAATTGTCTGTGGAGCGAAACTTGCTTTCAACCAGATGTGTGACGTACGAGGCACGTCCCGGTTGGTCAGTAGTACCCAGGATTAACTCCTAGACTCCCCACCACACAGCACTGGCCAACACAAGCCAGCTTGTTAGTGGTACCATTCTAAAAAATACAATCTTCTGTCAAAGATGACAATTACACTCTTAGCGGTGTGAACATTTATTACAAAATTTTGTAAACTTTTCAAATTACTTCATATTGAAGTGGATGAGGTGTAATGAAACTTTAAATTGTTTAGTTTGGAGTAGAACATATAGTGCTAAATTTACTGTTTCTGATGTGAAACGGAGGAAGGTAGCCCGAATCATCATACAACTCAAAAACAGTAATTTTACACAACTCTTCCTCAACGTTGTATTTGTGTGCTTGTATCAGTAGTTTAGAAATAAGTGGAATCCCGGTTTCCAAAGTTCGGAAATGCATTGTTGTATACAGTTTGGTGTTCCGTGTGTGATTACATTTTTGGGGTGAGGGGAGACATGTAGAAAGAGTAAAGTTTATGAATTACCTTAAAAGTTTATTCACTTAGATTTTATATTCCAGGTAAAATAACCTTTGGAAAGAAGTATCTGTCCTTACCAATTTTTTGGGTATTATTTATTTCAGTCTGTATTTTTTTTTTTGTATAAGATTTGTATATCTGATGGCGAGTACAGGTTATCCCACAAAAAAAACCCAACAGTCGAAAACCAGTTAAAAAAGGTATATTGCATGGGAGTTTTGGAATATTTTGAAATTACCTCTTAAAAGTCAGATAACTGATCTACCATACAAACTTTATTTCATTCAAATCGATGCATTGGAACAAACGCTATGCTTCATCGAACTCAAGGGTTGAAAATCGTCTTGGGCCACTTTCCGAGAAAGTGCAGTTAGAGAAACACACAAAGCATTTATTTCCTTTGTTCAAGACTAACGTGAGACTCGTTCTACCGGCTTTGATCTGTTAACTTGATAAATTAAAAAAGTGGTCCAAGTGGGCGAAGTGAAAAAAAAAAATCCTAATGAAACCAACTAAAAAGCATATGGAAGACCAATTATTGTACTCAACAATACATCAAACACAATTTTGAATACTACCCCCACTTTTCTGAAAACATGCCCGATGCGACTGTTTTTTGGTGGGACAGCCTGTATATAAATTATAAGGGGAACCTTGCCAAAGAAATTAGTTTAAAGATTTTACTAAAATACCATGCAGTTTCAGACTTGAAGTAAGTGTATAATGTGAATTTTATTTTGTGAGATACTTTAGAATTACAAAGTTTTCTCTTTAAAGTGAATGATTTGTTTACTACCCAGTATTGCTGTATATTTAGCGTTCTTGTGGCGCGGATTATTGCGTATCGCGATGTATCGTTAACCCTCTAATATTCTTACACGTTCAAATCGTTGCGGTGTTTTTTCCGCACACTGCATTTGGCAGGAATGTTTGCAGGACCTAATCAAAGAATCACTCGTGCCGATTTTGATACCTACACAGTTGCCAAACTTGAATACAAAAGCTGCATTCAGACTAAAGTGCTGGGCGAGTCGTGAATTTTTTACCTTGAGTATTCTTGACATTCGCCTGGCGGGATGCTGAGATAATTTTATCCAAAAAATTGGCATGTCATCGGACAAACGTCTTTCTGGCACTGATCTGCATCATTGTGTGTATTCTTCCTTTTCGACTAAGTGGTGCTAAATACAAGTTTGTACAATCGTAAATTTGGGTACTTGTATTTTTGTAACTTAAAAACTGACATTTGCTGTGTAGCAAAAACCCACAGTTTTCTTCTTAGAAGATAAGGTTTACAAAAAATCTTTTGAAAAACTAGAGATATCAGCCCACCTTTTCCATACAAGTTTCAAAAATTTCAAAAGAAAAGTACACTGTGGATCACTGTGCCATATTTTGCTTATGTCTTTAACACTCGGTTTTCTGAAAAAAATTAGATTTGTGTTGGTGTCGGTAGGATTGTGGACATTGGTTTAGCATTGTGAAGTACACAAATTGAGATGAGAGGGCTAGAAACATAAAAAGAAATGCTCGCTTAAACGTTAACGAGTTGCAAATATGATAATGGAAAACGGTGAAAAAGTAACGTAAAAATAAGCTCATTTCATTTGTTTTGCTTGGAAATAAGTATGTCGGATGATAAGTGTTAGAAGTGTTCTTGGGTAAACTTGTCGATTCTTGGCGAATTAACAACTGCACTCTGCTTATGTACATGTACATTCCTTCAATCGTAAATGCTTCCAAGCGATTAATCCCATCGGTTCCGCAATAGCGTTGAGAGTAAAGACGTCACGCTTTGCTTACGTGTGTGCTTTCCTATGGGAGCCACATGTAAGCAAAACGTGACGTCACTATGTCCCAGGTGTAAATAGCATCTAGGGATGTGGCCTAGAAGATATGTTTTGTGCCTCATCGGAACAAAATTTGGATTTTTTTCTTTTTCAGTGATTGAGGCTTTCCTTTTTTCGTCTCAAATTGTTTGTGTTGGTATTTAGTTGTTCAAAAGTGTTTGTAGTTCACATTGTACATATTGCTTTTACATACATTTACTTAAACTTGCCGCTTGGAAATGGATCAGTTAGGACTTTACCTTGCAATTGTACATAGCTTCGCTAAAACGCTGTATTAGTTTAGTTCAAAGTCTTGGAAATTTTTGTAAAGAGGATGTCTTTTGCTTGCTTATAGAACGCGAATGTCAGATCAATGCAATTTGATATTGTTTCCAAAATACATTAAGCGTTATTGTTTACTGTCGTTATGTTAATTTTTTATGACCATTCAGCCACATTGCTTAATGCAGACACAGTAGACGAAGACACTTAATGCTGGCACATCCGAGACAGATCAAGCGATCTGTTGAGGTTTGCTGCGATATGGGACACCCAAGGGGCGCATGACATTTTCTGATTTGCCTTGGGTGTCTTGCACCCCCAACATGCCCAAAGCTTCTTAAAAAGCTGTGTCAAACATCCCAGCAGTCATGATGTTATGTGTACCGTGTCACAGCATTTAACAGCCAAGTTTACGTCAACAAGCTTATGATAGGCTCCCATAATGGTTTGGTCCTTGAAGCTTGAAGTCGGCAAGTTTTTGGGCTGCCATTTTGCTGGTCCCACAAATTTACCATTGTCAAATTGCAGTATTGGAAATTAGTGCGGGTACCAGTGACTCAAGATTTTCTCACGGTGTGTAAACAGCTGATGTCATTGGTATGCGAAACAGCATTATGTTCTCCGAAACTTGTCACATGACTAACGGGACCAATGAAATCACAGTATCTGAGACACGCCAACAAAACAGTAGCTTTAAAAATGAAAGGAATGTGCTGTATGGTCTGGCGATACTGGAGCATCCAGTTTTAGAGAAAGTTGAAATGCTTTTTTTCCTGTGTAATATTTTTTTTTCAGCTACTAAGCAATACAGTTATCTATAATAATGCCATTTATTTTGAAGTTTATTTTGTTTTAAAAGAGCTGACCCATTTCAAACAAAAATTTGACTTGCTGTAATGGAGCGGAAATAGTTTAAAACCAGTCATGACACGTGTGTGCTTTCTTCAAAACTGTTACAACCATACCTCAAACAAAATAATTTCTCAGGATCTGCCAATCCAAACTTAGTGCACACAGGACCAATAAAGTATTCACATTTTGTTCTATGGAACACGCTTGACTCCAGACACAATTAGACAAAGACAGATGTTTCACATCTTAGTGCTTTTTTTTTTTACCGTGGACCACTGTTTTGCAGAGCTTTCTCGCGAAAGTGTGCTTCATGACATTGTAGTGCTGAATTGTAAATGTGTTGCATAATAATAACAAATAACTACACAAAATGACTTGCATCAAGTTAAACTAGACCTTCTTTTTGGAGAGTTTTGGTCTAAAAATATGGCAAAATATTCTGCTTAATTTGACAATCTGCCAGATTTTGGAAAAGAACACTTCAGTAACGTTAAATGTCTCTCTAAGTGTGGAATCTCAACTTCTATAGATTTCGTACGTGATATTTGTTTCTTCTCGGTATTTTCTGAAATAACTGTTTGGTGTTCCCTCATACTTGATCAACTGAGACTGCAAAATAAAAGAAAAATAAAGGCAATAATTCCCAAGCTTGAAGAGTTAAACAAAAAAGTTTCGGATTTTTGAGCAAGTGACATTTTGAGAGACTTTTAATGTTCAGGGTCATGAAATTGTTTCAGTAGATTTTTTAAACCCACTTTGTAACATGTTACATGTGTTTTTTTGTTTAATTAGAAATTGTTTCCTTATTTATTTCCCTGATTTTCTTTGACCTTCTGAGGTAGTTTATGTTGATAGGAGAGCTGAACACTGATACAGGTTTTATGAGTCGTTCGATTTTGTAAATCAAAACGAAAATACTTTTCCATTTAAGCAGTCAAGTATTTTTCTTTGTATTATTTTGTAGAAATTTTTGGTATTTATATTGTTTGAACAGTAAAGGCCTTGATAAACGGGATCCTAATTTTTATAAGCTATGGTACACATTTATTTCTATTTAAAAAAAAGAAAGATTGAATTCAACAATGTTAAATTGATGATTTTTCTTTGATTTTAGCTTTTTTTGTGTAATATTCGTCCAAAAATGTCAATATCATGTTTTTCACTTTAAGACTGTGCAAACCATTATTCAGAATGCAAATGATATTTTGTAAATATCTATTAATTGCAATGGTGTATGGATCTCATACCACAGCTACATGTAGTTGACTGATCGATTAAGCCAACGCATGATGATTTGCCGCATCCCAGCCATGATTTAAGTACGACATGTGCCCATGTGCTTATGACGCGTGCGCATTGGTTATGGCATTGGAGATAGGTGCATGTGTACATGTATGTTAGGCGCATAATTTATGCAAGTCTCTGAATTATTTAGTGTTAAGAAACAGTATTCTGCCTATGATTAAATAGATGTTGGCCAATTTGAATGGTGTTTTTTTTTTCAATCAGTGGAAAATAAACCGGATCACATTTGTGTAAGCAAAATCATTTGGAGTGCTGTAACTTAATAAGTTTTCTCCTCAATCTCCTTAAAAGTCCATGGAGTTCAACTCGCACAGCTCTATGGTGAAATTGGACTGTTATCCACAGAGTTGTAACTAGTCACTGATTTTTGTGACTCGAGTCGAGTCATTTTAAAGAAGTGACTCGAGTTGAGTCTAGTCATTAGGTCAAGAAAGTCAAGTCGAGTCAAGTCAAATTTTTAGCTCGAGTCGAGTCAAAAATATTTGAACACTATACAACAAATAAAAAAATAGAGAAAGTCATATGTATGCATTCCAGAACCACAAGGTTGGAGTCTGTGACACATATGTTTGTACACGACAAGCGGCCGTTGTATCAAAGTGTATTCGCAAACGACGTGTTTATGAACATAACGCTAACGTTTGTACCGTAAGTCATTGCAAAAAATGTCATTCACAAAGTTTTGCTTTTATTTTTAGGACTCGAGTCTTATTAGCCCTGACTCGAGTCCAGTCGAGTCTCCTGGTGAGGGAGTCGAGTTGAGTGGAGTCATTGACGTACTCGAGTCATTGACTCGAGTCATTTGACTCCAGCCATTGACTCCAGCCATTGACTCCAGCCATTGACTCCAGCCATTGACTCCAGCCACTGACTCCAGCCATTGACTCGAGTCATTGACTCCAGCCATTGACTCGAGTCATTGACTCCAGCCATTGACTCTAGCCATTGACTCGAGTCATTGACTCCAGCCATTGACTCCATGCAGCCATTGACTCCAGTCATTGGCTCCGGCCATTGACTCCAGCCATTGACTCCGGCCATTGACTCCGGCCATTGACTCCGGCCATTGACTCAAGTCATTGGCTCCAGCCATTGACTCCAGCCAGTGACTCCAGCCAGTGACTCCAGCAATTGACTCCAGCCATTGACTCCAGCCATTGACTCCAGCCATTGACTCCAGCCATTGGCTCCAGTCATTGCTCCAGCCATTGACTCCAGCCATTGACTCCAGTCATTGACTCCAGCCATTGGCTCCAGCCATTGACTCCAGCCATTGACTCCAGCCATTGGCTCCAGCCATTGCTCCAGCCATTGGCTCCAGTCATTGACTCCAGTCATTGACTCCAGCCATTGACTCCAGCCATTGACTCCGGCCATTGGCTCCGGCCATTGACTCCGGCCATTGACTCCGGTCATTGGCTCCAGTCATTGACTCCAGCCATTGACTCCAGCCATTGACTCCAGTCATTGACTCCAGCCATTGACTCCAGCCATTGGCTCCAGTCATTGGCTCCAGCCATTGACTCCAGCCATTGACTCCAGCCATTGACTCCGGCCATTGGCTCCGGCCATTGACTCCGGCCATTGACTCCGGTCATTGGCTCCAGTCATTGGCTCCAGCCATTGACTCCAGCCATTGACTCCAGTCATTGACTCCAGCCATTGACTCCAGCCATTGACTCCAGCCATTGACTCCAGCCATTGACTCCAGTCATTGACTCCAGCCATTGACTCCAGCCATTGGCTCCAGTCATTGGCTCCAGCCATTGACTCCAGCCATTGACTCCAGCCATTGACTCCAGCCATTGGCTCCGGCCATTGACTCCGGCCATTGACTCCGGTCATTGACTCCGGTCATTGACTCCGGTCATTGACTCCAGTCATTGACTCCAGCCGTTGACTCCAGCCGTTGATTCCGGCCATTGGCTCCGGCCATTGGCTCCGGCCATTGGCTCCGGCCATTGACTCCGGCCATTGGCTCCGGCCATTGACTCCGGCCATTGACTCCGGCCATTGACTCCAGTCATTGACTCCAGTCGTTGACTCCAGCCGTTGACTCCGGCCATTGGCTCCGGTCATTGGCTCCGGTCATTGGCTCCGGCCATTGGCTCCGGCCATTGACTCCGGCCATTGACTCCGGCCATTGACTCCGGCCATTGACTCGAGTCATTGACTCCAGCCATTGACTCCAGTCATTGGCTCCAGTCATTGGCTCCAGCCATTGACTCCATGCAGCCATTGACTCCAGTCATTGGCTCCGGTCATTGGCTCCAGCCATTGGCTCCGGTCATTGGCTCCGGCCATTGACTCCGGCCATTGACTCCGGCCATTGACTCGAGTCATTGACTCCAGCCATTGACTCCAGCCATTGACTCGATTACAACTCTGGTTATCCAAGAGCTCTTCAAGTTGTAACTTGTCTAAGATAAGATTGCACCATTTAGTTATTGCAAACACGTGGTGAAGAGTTTTATGTACATGTAGATACCCATACTCTTTAGAGGCAAGAATTGATCATGCGCAAATTCTGTATTTTGTGAATATGGTGAATTGGGGAGGGAGGGATCGATAAAATGTATTCCTTTTATTTCTTGAGGGTCATCTACATGTGGAGACCCATTATACTACAAACTGCCGTGCAATCTGTTTGAACCAAAAAACGAAGCACCCAAATGAAACATTCGGGGGAGGAATAAAAACATCGACTATGCATTCTGACTGAGATCTTATTTTCAAATACATGACATGTGTAGACGACATAGAGCTGTATAATACAGCTCTATGGTAGACGATGTTAAGTTTTTATTTAGAACGTGTAGTTGATATTTGTACTGTTGTTGAATGCGCATCGCGTCGAGGCACTCACGTCAAAGTGACGTCAACAGAGGGCGCTATTGAAACTTCTTTTAAAGACTGGTCCCGCCGTACACTGATTAAATGCGGTTCATTGATCACATGGGTATACAGGGTACCAGGGATACGTGTGGCAGACGACGTTTGCGAGTAGCGATTCCCGTCAAAAATCTTATTACAAAACGACCGGAAAATGATACCGTTCAACGTTTTATCGTGTTACTGGATGTTTTGCATCGTAGTATTTTGTTCGATGTTTATAATCCAATATGTGCCTCAAATGCCCAGTTTCTTGTGGAACCTCATTTCTTACGGCAAAGTGAGAAACCTACAGAAGGCAACAGAACCGAGAAAGCCAAGTTCGCTGGATAAATGGCTCGACGTTCCTAAACAGTGAGTGGGCGTGTCCCAATTATTCTGTCCCCACTTTGCACTTATACAATCGACCTCAATAATATTGATTTTGCAAGTGTCTTGTCGGAAAGAATGTTGCATCCTGACGCCACTTTTTTTTCTTCATATTATCTCCAAAAAAAAGGCAGTCATTGCAAAAATGTTGAAAAGACATGAATCTGGGAGTGGGACTGAGAAACATTTCCAATTTTGTTTGGAAATATGCAACATTCTTTTTGTATTGTCTTGTCTTTGTTTATGTTTAGGCCGAGGGAATGAAAGTCATAGAATACCGTCCACCGCCCGCATGTGCCGAAAGGTACCGCCGAAATTTTTCATTATTTACAAAAAAAAATCATTATTTACCCAGAATATTAATCTGCCACAACAGTTTACTTCTCATTTTATCAGAATCCGCTCTACACAATTTTTCTAACGCAGAATAGTCGTATTCTGTGTACCACATTGGCGCGAAACCTAATCTGCCCGCGCGTACAGAGTACCGTGAACATGCGGTATATATACACAATACGTGCATACCATGTATAGCGCGTGGTTACCAGCACTAGCGCTGCATGATACCAATGACTGCCTGTTGCCGTTTTCCCAAACACTTTCTTAATGTCTACATAGTGACATCATGTACCTGATTCTGGTTAGTGCTTCAGAATAATGAATAATGAATAATAAAAAAAAACCTCATTGTTTTTCAAAATCAGCAGGACGGTATTCTATGACTTTCATTCCCTCGGCCTTATGTACTTTATGTAGTGATTATAATTTATGTTAATGGAAGCCAGACACTTTTCCATACAATGCCCGGACATGCCAGAGGCTAGAGGCTCATCATATTCATAAACAAAACAGTTACTAATTCTACATTTGTCATGTTTGTCATGTTTGTTTCTGAGGTTTTGTAGAGAAAGTCATAACCCCTGCCAATAACCTTAACTTCTATGGTGGTCTGTCACTGGGAATACATTGGGTAAAAATTGTTGGACACATGTTCGAAGAAAATTGTTCACAGCTTCCGTTGTACGCAATCACCAAAAGAACATCAGCATCCCTCACATTTTCCGATATTCCAGAACCTTTAATGAAATTTGAAAGACTTATAACACTCGGTTAACTTCCCCAGGAAATTTTGTTCTTGTCTTTCAGGTGGTTCACTCATTTCTATGCGGTGTCGGCAGTCTGCAACGGTTTCTTGTTTTTCAAATTGCTGCAAGTTCTGTTCTTCAATGGCCAGATGCCGGGATGGTACATGGACCAACTTCGATTCCTCACTGACTATCCATTGCAGATTCCTAATGGTAGGTATTGCTGGCCAGAGATCCTAAACTTCACGCAACGTTTTAGTGCGACAGTTTTTGAGCCTAATTATTCACCCCAAATCCCGAGTTGTTTGAATCTTGCTATGAAAGTTTCAAAATCATCTTCTGTGCAATAAACCAGTGGCACATTCTTTGCACTTTCACCTTGTGTTACACTGTACTGAAGATGTTCTGTTAAGGAGAATACACGAGAAAGTGTGGATTCGTAATTTAAGAATTCACGAGGCGCGAAGCGCCGAGTGAATTCGTAAATTAAGAATCCACACTTGCGAGTGTATTCTTCGACTTAAACCATTGCGTCAACAGAAGTATTGGAAAGAATGCTGCAACCTGACGCCACTTTTTGCTTCATATATCATCTCAATGAAGGTCATTCGTTGCAAAAATGATGATAAGACATGAATCTGGGACTGAGAAATGTTTCAAATTTTGTTAGGAAATACTTGAAATGACTCTCCATAGACTTCGTACACAAGCGTTGAAGTGGCGTCAGGTTGCAACATTTGTCCCTGGCATGTTTAGCATGTGTATCGCCACACCCGTACAACCAAGCCATTTTGTGTGTATAGGCTCCTTACGACAAAATGGATAATTCAGACGACGATTTCTTTCTGATTTAAAGTAGTTTTTGCAGTGACGGCGGCGAATGTGACAGTGAAGATGCATTGGTAATTTTCGGAAAACAAATTTTCACGCAGACGGTCCTATTCAGGCTCATTATGGGGAACAATAATTGTCCGACATGTTCAAAGTGTGGATTCGTAATTCCGAATCCACACTTTACGAAAGATTCTTCGTTCCGAATCCACACTTTGTGACCGGTGTAAGAGATTCGTAGATCCGAATCCACACTTTTAACAATAGTGTGACGTCATAGCAATGGTTTAAGTATTCAGATCAACTTGAAACTTGGCACACACAAAGACCACCTGGAAAAGGTGTGCATTGAAAAGTGACTTCAAGATGACATCATTATTATGTCTCACGTGGCATTAGCTTTTAAAGGTGCATTTTTGAGGGCACCACAAAAACTATATGCATGATATACAATGTAAAACATCATACAGCATCAATCCTGCAAAATACTCCGTTATTTCTTGAATGTGGTCCATGGAGGGTGACCACTGCCTCAATCCTGCAAAATCCTCCGGCAATCACTGTCAATATGTTGAGGCAGAGCCAGTGACATCCTGGAGCAGTGCAGAGGATTTCAAGTATAATATAGGCCTAAATTTATGCACAGCTTAGCATACAAAATGTAAACAACACAAGATCTGGCCTATTAAGACCTTGACACAGTGCATCCTCAGAAATCAGCCACACACTTTTGCCATAATAGCCTCAATCCTCCAAAATCCTCCATTTTGCAAAGAGGATTGTGGAGGATTTGGGAAGGTTAGGGTTAAGGAATGTGCTGTACTGGTACAATGTACCTTGATTAATTCTTCAAAGTCCTCCAAAACCATCTGGAGGGTGTTTTGAAGGATTTGGGAGCGTTAAGTTTATTTGCGGTATTGTGTAGACCAATGAATTTGAAAATGTATCTACATTTAAATACCCTGCCAAAAGCAACACAGTATATCAGGTGTAAAAGTCTGCGGGACCTTGCTGCATTGAGCCATCAACACCAGTGCACATAACGGCCAGTTCTGAGACTACGAGAGATAGTCCCATAGAACAATGCCACAGTTGTATCCTGCTGCATTCGGTGACCACAGACTCTGAGGCAGTTTGGCCTTGAGACTTTTGGCCTGATGGATCTTGCTACTTTGGGAAGCCTTCTCATTTGGAAAAGTGATGCAAGTTGCTGTGTTCAGCAGGGTTTCTTGTCAAAATACCCCTGAGGGTTAGGGTGAAGTACAGAAATGAAATTTAAAAAGACAGAAAGGAGGAGGAACAATTTTTTTTTTCCAAATATTTTTTTGTTTTACTCTTCATGACTGTGTTCTCTGTTTCAACAGCATCCCATCTGTCAGTGGTCATCACCATCGCCTTGCTGTTCATCCAAGGGACGAGGCGATTGTATGAGTGCCTGTTTGTCAGTTCGTACTCCAAGTCCACCATGCACGTCGCCCATTACATACTGGGCATCTTGCTGTACTCCTTGATTGGCATGACCATTTTTGCTGAAGGACCTGATCTCCAACAACCAGGTAATTAGGAAGCGATGTTCTAAAACATGGTCTTATTTATTTATTTATTTTATTTTTGGTTTGGAAGGTGTGAGAGGTCGGAAACTTTGGTTGAAAAAAAAAACATTAAACGTTATTTTGTATCTTTTGCCCTATCAGCTCCCTTTGATAATGTATGGCAGTTGGGAGAGCAGCTACAGTGGTTTAATGTGGTGGGAGTCGGCATGTTTTTCTGGGCGACTTATCACCACCATGTCGCCCACAAAATATTTGCAGGTCTACGCAAGGGAGACAAAGGTAGGGTAAATAAATGATGTTAATTGGGTGCAGGGGCTCAACCCAAAACACCTAGTGTTTCTGTTAGGATTATTCAATGGAAGCGTCGGGACACAGAGATTTTGGATAGCACTTGCCCCCCTCCCCCTCCCTCTCCCCCAGATGACCCAACTGCCCCTTTTGCGGACATTAATATGCCCCCTCGAGCATAAATGTGCCCCCTCGCGAAGAAAACAAAACTCGCCTTAACATTTCATAAAATCTTTCAGTAACAATTTCCCAAGAAAGTTCTGATATGAACGAGGGATATGACAACCAAGCCCCAAAACCCTTTACAATGCGCCCTGAAAATGGGAACAGTGAGCCCCCTATTTTGAAAGACGGTACGAGGGCCCCCCCTCCCCCCCCCCCCCACTTTGATTTTACGGAGGCCAAGTGTCCAGTGAGAAAAAAAGTTTCGACATTTCAGCACAGATGTGCGCCCCCCCCCCAAATATGCTGGATACGCTGCTGCACCGACGGAAAATGCCTTTTACTGAGCATGTGCCCCCTTTTGGGTGATGTGCCCCTTTTTGGGTGATGTCCCCCCCCCCAGTTTGAAAACCGTTCCGCCGCCGCTGATAGTGTGAATTTTTTTTCCTATGGCCCTTGCAGATCGCAGCCACAAGATCCCACGCGGTGACTGGTTTGAGCTAGTGTCTTGCCCCCACTACCTGGCCGAGATTCTCGTCTACGTCGCCATCGTGACTACCCTGGGTTTCGGGCACACCATGAGCTACCTCCTGTTCGGTTTCACCGCCTCCAATCAGCTCTTTGCCGGCTACTCGGTCCACCTCTGGTACCGAGACAACTTCCCCAACTACCCCAAAGGTAGAAAGGCGGTCATCCCGTGGCTCATTTGAAAACCTACTCCAGCACTTGTCAAACAGCACTTTGTAATAACACCAATCAAACTCATAAGAAGAATATTCAAGCCTGTTTTAAATTCAGCTCAGTGGATACATGTATTACCCTTTTTGAGAAATCAGTGCAAAACCATGCACAGGCTTTTTGATCACAAAACACACTTTTGTCCATAAATCAGTCAATTCGGGCAATTCACAATGCAGTGCGCCACCAAGAGTTTGCCATGGAGAGTCAATTTTTCAAGTTTACGGTCGACAAAACACGGCCCATTTGAATGAGTGTCAGTAGACAACTTTGCGGCATAATGTTCTGCCGCCTTACAAAAAAAACCATATTGATTAAAAGAAAAGGGCAAACAGTATACGCAAATCATGCGCTTACGAAACTACTGACCAGAAAAACTTAACAATTTCAAATGTCCCGCGCTGCAATTTGTCGACCATCTCCCACACTGCACTGGGAAAAATGAATTCTCCATGGCAAACTCTTGTGGCGCATTGCATTGTGAATTGCCGAAAGAATGATCGTTGAAAATTACATTTCTTGATTTTTTTCTAAAATGACAGCAAGCCAGACGGAATAATTTTTACGGGTTGTTTAGTGACCGTACAATCTTTAATCCTAAGTAAGCTTTTTTGACAATAATTTGGTAGATTACTGTTGAGACAAATGCAAATGATCCTGTAAGAGTTGTTAAAAATTCACACTTGTTTTTGTGTGTGACTTACAATCAGCTTTGTAGATTTGGACAATGCAAGCCAGTGCAATGAAATAAAGATTGATTTAGATTTCGACGAGAACATGAAGTCTTTAATTGTTTAATTAGTCTTTTTCACAATGCAAGTAATTTGTAGCATTGAAAGGAAATAAATTTTGTTTGGTTTTTGTTGGGTTGTTGGGGTGTTTGCTTGTTTGTTTATTTTTTGATTTGCAAAGCAAAATTTTACACTGAAATGTTAAGGTGATCATACCGTACGTTATATAGACGTAACTTTGCATTCTAATCCTAATCCTTGCACAAAGCACAAATAAATCATTAAATTGTAAAATAAATTTTAAATGACAGAATGTTTTACTTGAAATATATATTTGTATATGTTGTATCGTTTTGTGTTTGTTTTTTGTTTTTTTGATTGACAGCGTATCCTAAGTGGTTGATGGTACGTTATTGTATATAACTTTGCACTTTAATCAACGAACACTGTACAACTCATTGAATTGTAGCGTTTGGGTGGTGCAACCGTTGAAAACATACGTTCCACCATACCTTCACATCTGACAATACCATTGTTTTTATTTTAAATAAAAAGTAGGAATTGTTAACAAAAACATTTAGTGTTACAGGTTAAAAAAGAATGTGAATATTTCTGAAAATAGTGGTGAATGGAGGAGAAATAAAGAGTTTGGAAGATTTTCTTTCATTAATTTGAGACTTAGACGAGAAAAAGCTTTTCTTGTGCTGCATTCCCTTTTGCTCTGCTCGTTGTGACATCATCAGCAAATTTAACACACAGCTTGTCCGCCCTGATGTGTAAAACTCATTGCGTTTATTACTGCAGAGTCGGGAAAGTTTTCTTATTTCTTGTTTAAGCAGGGTTCGACCTTAACTTCTTTTTTTTCACTAGCCAGCCGAGCTATTTTTGTTTCATAAGTCTTGTTTTGACGTAGTGGTTAACCTTCTTAGCTCCCAAACGTTCGCAAATTCACCGAAATTCCCGACTGTGCATCAGGTGTCAGACTGACAGTTTTCTCTTGAGTTTATCACATTCAACCAAGTGCACAGTAGTAAGAAACAACAAACCAAACTCATTTGGGTTTTTTTAAAGGTAATTCTTTCTCATTGCTTTTATTTCTTCAAATATGGTACATGTACAATTGCACCCATTGCACAATTTCTCCTCTATTTTTCAGGTAGCAGCCCAAAATGAGAGGGGAAAAGCAGCTGGATCTCGAGGCTCAAAATATATGTTTCCAGATTCCAAACGATCACTATACTGTAGTCTTGGTTAAAACAGGATTTGAGAGATACATTTTTTCAATAAACGTTGGGCTTTTACACGGCCGCCGGTAGAGGGCGCTATCCGTGCCAGCAAACAGTCACAATTTGTTGGTTCAAGTGAATATGTTGATTCACCCTTAAAGGTACGAATTCCCAAGGACCGGTATGCATTAAGGCAGTTGGGGGAATAAAATTATTGATCAAATCCTGCCTCAAATCAAGACTACAGTCGACTCTCGTTAGTACAAACACTGTTAATACAAACACAAAGCCTTGGTCCCGACTGTGCATAGGTGTGCACAATGAATGGGACAGTAGCCCCACTTGTGTGGCATTGGTATTGCTGCGCTGTACGTTAGGCCACACGTCTGGTTTCCCAACCTACTGAGGAGTTTAGTTAAAACACTGGCGCATATTGGACATTAGAAAGATGTCTAAATTTCTCGAAAAATTTGAAGAAAAATTACCTAATCTACCCGGAGGGCAAAAGATGAGACATCATAGAATACAACCGTATGCAGTGGTATGTGAAAAAAAGGCCCAAAAAAGGTGCGCCAGGCTTTGGACTAAACTCCTCAGTAGGTTGGAAAACCAGGCGTGTGGCCGAACGTACAGCGCAGCAAAACGGAGGCCACACAAGTGGGGCTAATAATGGGACTGATGCTCTTCTTAATACAGTCGAATCCAGTTAGTACAAACTCTGTTAATACAAAATTCTGGTCATAACAAACAAAGCCTTAGTCCCGACTGTACATGTATGTGCACAATGAATGGGACTGATGTTCCTCTTAATACAAAATTCTGATATAACAAACAATTTGGCTAGGTCCGAACGAGTTTGTATTAACGAGACTCGACTGTACAAAATTCTGATATAACAAACGTTTATGGCTAGGTACGGCCGAGTTTGTACTAACAAGAGTCGACTGTATATATTCTACTGTTTGACTCGTACTTCTCATGGGAGACTTTTCGAGGCGCCTGGTAGCCGCTTGCCACACCGGTCCTTTTCAATTGTTTGCGTCATGTTTTATGTGCCCATGTTCAAAATAATGCAAACAATAGAAAATGACTGGTGTGAAATGTTTTATGTGCGAATGTTCAAAATAATGCAACCAATAGAAAAAGACCGGTGTGTTTGCTGCCACCAACATCTCAAAAGTCTCCCATTTGTGTCTACAAATTCAACCTCTTCCTCGGAGCTACTAATCTCATAATTTAACGATGTAATAAGGTAAAATACATGTTGCACAAATTTCATCGTGCCAGGTATCCCCAAACACTATTTTCAGAACAGTTGTTTTCAAGCACTTTTATGACAAGAATAGCGAAAATAATTAAGTGCACCACGATTAATTTATTACCGTACCAAAGTATCAAGAAGAAAAAAAAGACATGTATTAAAGTCTCAAATTTGTTTATTATTAGCAATTATACAACACCTGATGGTAAATTCCCGTCATCTGATAGGTGGGTCGTTGATCACATGTTATTGAATTATTCGTCCAAACCCACGGACCGACTGCACCGCAAAAGTAGAACTTCCGTTCCACGGTAAATGGAAGTTCCACTGCACGGTCACGACTGGTGGCTCTGACCAATCAGATGACAAGGATTTATTCAAAACAAATAAAGAATGTTTTATCATTCGTGCAATGGAAAGAATAATTTCATTCGGTGACGGATGGAAGGTTCAATTCCATGACTTGGCGACTTTCCATCTGTCACCTCATGAAATTACTCTTACCATTGCACTCATTAACATTCATATAATAATCCAAACTTTTTCCTACACCACTAATGAAACCCTTCAAAACCCTCCAGTATGCTGAAAACGAATGTGTACTTTTTAACCTTGAAGTAGCAAAAAAAAGTGGCTCTGTTGTACCGTCCTAGTGGATTTTGTAGGACGCAGGACAGTTGAAGGTTTAAATGGAAAAACTGTTGCAACCTGACGCCACTTTTTTTCTTCATATATCATCTCAATGAAGGTCAGTTGCAAAAATGACGATAAGACATGAATCTGGGACTGAGAAACATTTCCATTTTTGTTAGGAAATACTTCTTATGGAAATTTTCTTGACTCTCCATAGACTTTGTACACAACCGCTGAAGTGGCGTCAGGTAAAAACATTTTTTTCCGTTTATATTACACAAATATAACACCTTTTGAGAATGGATAGTCGATAACCATGCTATATTTGTTTTACTATACCTCATAATATCGCGCTACCCCCATGCGATAGTTCCACGATTGCTCAGTGTTAAGCGCCATATGTGTAGTAGTCCACCGACTGCGCATGCATATTTACCTAGTGCGTGTATCATCGGGTGTGCTTATAGCAAAACTAGCGGCTGACGTGACTGTGAATGGACCAGTGAGAATTCAGTTCTCACTCATGAATATGTATGAGGTGTAGTAATACAGGCTCTGCATCTGTTTTCCAGGTTGAAGTAATTAAAGCATGCGCCATAAAACAACACAAATGTGTCCCTGGTATACTACAGAAACGGCCAGGACTCTTATTAAATATTCGGGATAACTTTGCGAACAATTTTATCCGCAATAGGAGCACTGTATTTTGAACACTTTTCCCGCGATCTTCCCACACTAAAGTTATTAGCATTGTTTACGCACGGATAACTTCACTGCAGGAAGATTCTGGGCAAGTTGTCCAGAATGCTGCAACTAACACCCGATACAAACGCCCCTACTGCGGACAATCTTGTCTTTAACTTATCTTGATTATTTCATGAGACGGCTCGTTAACTTGAGCCATGCATATGAAAGACACTGAAACTACAAAGACACTAGTGATTTTCAACCGTAATACCCACTAATCCCTGAACCTAGGCTTCAAATGTCTAAAAAAAAAATAGTCCAAATGCCATGTCTTTACTAAAACAAAAAAGTGAAGGAATTTAAATTGTTCCAACATTTGTACCAAGTACTGCAAAATTTGAAATGGAATAAACTATTACATACACTGACATTAGGCACAATATAAAACAAAAAAACAAATTCATTGAGTCTATGCTCCTTGATTCCTCTAAGCACTTTTAACCAATTTCATTGAGCTGTTACAGTTACATTCCCGTGCTCTTCAACAAATCTTTTTTTTCTGTTAATAAATTTTGAACTTGTATGTTTTATTCTGACCAAAAAAACTCCTTTTCCCCCCTTTTGTTTAGACACTGCAAACCTCTTGGGAAAAAAGCTCTTGTTTTGGGGACAAACAGATCCGCTTTGCGAGCAGACTGGCTCCCAATCCGCACATTATCGATACTGATTGTGGGGCGGGAACCAGCCTACCCTGTGAGAACAAGAATTATTGTCTGGCACCCAATAATTCGAAATTGTAAAGTAATAATTCAAATTATTCAATAACAAAACATTAGCCACATTTTTTTTCGGTCGATGTCTCATTCGAAAGTGAATAACTATTGTATTGCTAGAAAAATAGCAATTTGGAAAAGGAGTCTACTTTTGGGGATGAAACATGAAAACAGCACGGGTAATGCATCTTTAAGCACAGAAATTTGCTAAGCACGGAAAGTATGCGCTAAGCAAAAACGGTTTACCAGCCAAAATCACTAGTAATGTCTACTGCTTGTGACCGGTTCCTGGCTTATTTTTGCTAAGCGCATAAATCTGCTTAGCATCTCATGTAATTGAGTCCTGTACTAAATTGTTGTGAAGAGCTTGCCACCTCCATCTACTTGATCAAGAAGCTGTGTGGAGAAACAATGGAATACAGTCAGCTATCAAAATTATACCAACTTGAGTAAAACGTCTTTGTTAAAAATGGTGCAACACTGTATTCTATGTGCTTGCATGCTGTTGATGTTGATGTTCATCGTTCAACCACTGCTGTTAACCATTTTGCCACATGCAAGTTGTTTTATCATCACTGCACAATAACACTAACATAGGTCAAATGTCTGCAATTTTTAATACAGGCAGGTATCCCAATCCAATAAAATAACAGTGAAATTTTAAAGAGAAAACAAGGTCTAGCTCTGTGAATTTCACATCAGTGAAAGCAGCAAAACAAGAGCTTTCTGATAGTATGTAACCTAGGTGGCGTCATATGTTGTAAATCTTGGACATTTTGGAAAAAAATCTGGCACTTGTAAAGCATTGTATTACATTGTACATGTACTTATTTCCGGCAGAATCCATCAACAAACCAAATTCACTCTCAAAATAATCTCTCATGCGCATCTAACCATTGTATGCATTGAAAAAGGCCCAACCCTTTCCATGAGAACTGCTACACACAAACAAATTTTCTTTAGTGGTTTGCGGCCAATTTTCCTCGGTTTTCAAATAATACTCGGCAAATGGCAACAAACACACAAATCCTAATAATGAGCAAGAAACATTTGGCATGTTTGGTATCAGTTTTACTATTTATATTTAAAAAAAAAATCATTTTTGCTGAGACTTTTCCCCAGATGCTTACCTGTATGGGTAGCCCTTGTACTTGGCCCTGAATACCGACAACAGTAGACTGAAGAAGAACACCACCATAACCAGACCGATGACCGTCACGACTAGGAAATAACCAGAGAAAACGAGGTAAGGTCATTTTCATAAGTTAATAGTAGCGCTTTATATCAATGTTATCCAACGTTTTAACAGTTAATAAGCCTGTTAATTGGCCCATGCCATTAGTATTCTGCAGCGTTTGAGATCAACGCAAACTGGTCTCTACCCTCGCAGGTACACACATACTTGTTCCGTAGTTGTGTGGACCACACACGAGTTGTCCCATGGTACTATGGGAATCGAAGACGCTGTGGGGGCAGCAGAAAGTCCTCATAACTCGGTCCTAATTTGCCTAACAATAAAGAACTTCCCCCATAACGCAGTGACGGCCAACCCATTAACATGTATAATCCTGGGTGGAGGAAGGCCGTTGCAGTAAAGTATCTTGCCTAAAAACACAAGCATCATGACCCATGTCCGGGTTTGGACCCATGCACCAATACATGCGAGTCAGACTCTGTAATTTGAAAAACAATTTGAAGAAAAAATATTGCTTTTGGTCTATTATATGGGTTTCTATTTTTTACTTTGAATCTGGCCTCTAATTCTGTTTTACAAGGGACATTTTTTTTGGTGTGTTTATGCCAAGAAAATCTAGATTACCTCTCCGTTTTCTGATGTCGCCCTCCGTGATGGCGTTCTTGTTTAACAAAATCACACCAACAGTCACAGCGGCATCTGGAAGTAGTTGTTAAGGATATATTGCAGAAAATATAGGTGATTGCACAAAAAAATTGTGCAATGCAAACGAATTATGGATGCTTACAGTGACATACACAGATGCCCCATCCCAATTGACTATGGGATTCATACACAGCATTTTCCCCGAAATATAGTGCATTTTACTTCAAAGAAGCAAAGTTATCAGTAAGACTTCACTCTACACTTTAAAGTTATAGTCCATCATTTGTAATTTGTGCATTTTGTTCATTTGAAGCAACAAAAGTGTCCAAAATCTAATGAAGGATACTGAACAACTAACCTGATGAAGTTTCAGTTCAGCTTCAGCTGTACATTCCAAGAAAAACAGCATTCTAGGATCTCAATTTCAAATCAAAAGTTGCTGAATCATGTTTTGAATTGTTTTGAATTGCAGCTATACGCGATGTTGCGCACTGATCCGACAAATTATAGCAACCGTGCGCGCCTGTGCGTCATGCCAATGCTTGCGCGCGCTGTGCCGAATAACAAAACGAACTACTGTACTAATTTAAATTTTCCTACGGTGCGTCTTAACGTTGGAAAGGCCTTCTTTTGTTGATTACTTCAAAATGATAGCTTGCCAGAAAGATTAATTTCACAGGGGGTTTAGTCCACTTACTATCTATCAACCAAGTATGTTTTTCAACAATAATACGCCAGTTACTTTTTCGGATGGCTGCAAATGATGGACTATAGCTTTAAGGCGTGGTACTTTCACACAAAGTCTTTTACTTTGAGTCATATGACAATAGAAATGCATTCACAAAGTTCTGTGATACAATGCAGTTTTAGGAACAAAGATATTGATCAAGACTTTTTTTTTTAGAAAAAGTAGTCGTGAAGGATACGCAGCAAGATGACGATGTGAGTCTCGGCCACAAACTGACCCTGACTGCTACCATGAATGTAGCTCTGCAAGGAAAAAGAGCAAAAAAAAATTAAATAAATACAATACAATAAAAAGAAATAAAGACAAATTTACGGTAATTAAGTGCTGATTACTCAAGCAATACACATGAATGAATCACTCACAACTGTATTACGCTCGGGAAATGGCATCGAAATTAACCTAGCATGGCTGAAAACCCCGAAGATATTTCATTGTTCTATTTTACGCCATCCAACATGTTATGATAATTCTCAAGAAATCTTTGGATCCTTCTCTTTGTTTTGATGGATTGGAGAACTTCCCGGTTCAACAAAATATCAAAGAACTTGACATGTCAAGAAGTTCAAATCTGCAGGCTACCTACCACTTGGCCTGTCTGGGGGTTCCTGTGGGCGTACGGTGGGCCTCGGATGTGATTCCACATCTGACCAGACGTCATGGCAAACACAATGCACTGTAAGAGAAAACCATCAAGACACAGAACGAACACAAACTTAGCAAGCGATTCTGGTAAAACATACCCTGCAATCCCCTCACACCATGTAGATAACAAAACCCTGATCACTGACTTCTAATCAGAACCTAAATCTTGCCTGTAATATTTTAAATGTAATTGTGAGTTTTCGGAAAAGTCACTGACTGTGGTACCCACTGGTTTGCTTTGAACCAGCCAGACGAATCCGACAAGCATGCGGTCAAGACGTCTTAACTCAGGGTTCCCACAGAAATCTGAAAACCAAATTCCAGGACTTTTTCCAGAACTAAAATATGACAATTTCCATGACATCTAACGCCATTTTGCAGAGAAAAGTTGTTTGGTATTATGATACTGATGAACCGCTGATGTTGGGCCACCATTTGCTAGCTTTTGAAAATAAGTTTTCATTAATAATGGCCTCCCCTTACAGCCATCCTTAAAGCAGCCCATCAAAAATTACCCTTACATGATCTTGATTTCCATGACTTTTATTTTGTCCAATTGTCCAATTTTCCATGACTTTTCCATGACTTTGATTTTGTCCAATTTTCCATGACTTTTCCATGACTTTGATTTTGTCCAATTTTCCATGACTTTGATTTTGTCCAATTTTCCATGACTTTGATTTTGTCCAATTTTCCATGACTTTTCCATGACTTTGATTTTGTCCAATTTTCCATGACTTTTCCATGACCTTGATTTTTGTCCAATTTTCCATGACTTTTCCATGACTTTTATTTTGTCCAATTTTCCATGACTTTTCCATGACTTTTATTTTGTCTAATTTTCCATGACTTTTCCATGACTTTTATTTTGTCCAATTTCCCATGACTTTTCCATGACTTTTATTTTGTCTAATTTTCCATGACTTTTCAATGACTTTTATTTTGTCCAATTTTCCATGACTTTTCCACGACTTTCCAGGACAACCATTTTTCAAAGACTTTCCATGATTTTTCCATGACCGTGGTAAGCAGCAGGTCTTGGGTTCGAGTCCCACCCATGCAAGCTTGCAAGATTTGTTTCTGGATTACACTGAAAATATGGTGCCACTGAAATTATGTCAGTAATAGGCGAACCTGATTTTAAATTTGTAATGATTGAACTCACAATTCTGCATATGTACAATGAATACTTACCAGAGACACTACTCCCCATATGGTCTTGTTGTACAGGAACTCCAGGTTGTTGCGTCGGAAGTAGAGAAAGCCGGCGACCATGCTGAGCAGGATACCGAGCGCAATGGTGCCCGAGTAGTTGGGAGGCCGGAAAATGCGGATCTGTGGCGAAAAACAAAGTCTCGATAGTGTTGGTAACATTTCAAATTTGTTTTCTTTTATTAGGTAATTTTTATGTGACCACCTTTGTATAAATTTTGTTTCAAAGTTTTTTCGGTGACTACGTAAAACTTTTGCCTGATTATCACCCTGCGGAATTTCCCAAATTTCATGACGAATATTCTCACTTTAACGAGGTTGCTGGCAAGTCAAGATGTAGTGTAGCGCAGCTAATTGTCTGAAGATGTGTGTAAATATTCACACTGCATAAACAGTGAAAAGCCACACAGTCGTGAATTTCTATACGCCCGGGGACAATGCTTTGTTTCCCTTTGTCCATGTAATACAACACTCTCCCATAGAGTAAGCACATAACCGTACGATCGAGGACCGTTTTCAACAAAAGACCCAACGTTCGAGGACTGAAAGGATCTTTTGTTTCTCCCTTTGTGTGTCTGTCCTCTATCGTAAAGCCATACAAATACACCACAGCTAGTCAGTCAATCGCAAATAACTCTGACACATGGCACAAGACGCACGGACACCAAAGTGGCCAAAACCTGTCCCTTCTGGGTCACTGTTAAATTCCCTGAGTTTTCCCTGATTTTGTTCAGGTGTTTTCGCCAAATCACCTGATTTTTCCTGACAGGAAAAATGGAAATTCATTTTCAAGGTTTCCCTGAAAATGAAGCTTCTTTTTGGTAATCAAAATAATGCTTTAATTTTCTGAAACTGTTTTAAAACTGTTGTTTCGTTTAGAATCCCAGATTAATTGGTGTTAAACACTTACGTGGACGTCAGTGCGTTCCCCAACCCATTTAGCCATCTGCTCACTTTGAAATCCAACTCTGAAAGAAAAGAAAAAGAAAATAGAAAAAGGTCCATTTACTCCCAAACATCTGCAGTATCTTAAAGGGTCTATGACATGACAATTTTACATTGGAACATATTTTGTGCGCATATTTCTCTGAAATGTATGAAAACAATGAGGCATGTCTTTTTGGTTAAGAGTTTTATAAAGTGCACTTTTTAAAACAATATTGTCTCATGCTTTTCATGACAACAGAGGGCGCTATTTCTGTGATGTCGCTTTAGGCACCCGCTCATCAGTTTAGGTGTTTTCTGTTCACATTTTGGTGAAAAGAATTATTCCTCGTAATTTCTATCGTTAATTTACCCTCAGGAACTGTCTGATCTATTTCTGCTTGACCATAAAATCTTAAGATATTGAATGCAAATGGGTTGATTTTCTACATGTCTGTCTCACCTTTGAATGTCAAACGTATCGCCCTTCTTTGCTTTGCCCTTAGGTGGAAAGTGGAGGATGCTTGGCGCCGAGGTTGTCTTCAGCTGTAGACATACAACAATAAAATGAAAGAATCTGTGTCCAAGTTGCCAATCAACGCTGAAATACCAAAATATTGAAGGACAGTTTATATACACACACCCTGTTGTACTCTTTGAAGATTTGCCATGAGCCTGGTAACCGGTGTGCACACTACCAAAGTTTCAAGTTACTTTCCTTGATAAATACTGTTTTCTTGATAAATAATCATGGAAAGATGACTCAGATAAAAGATGTTTATATTTTTATAGTTTTAATACATCCTTCCCTGAATTTGTATCTCCAAAAAGACATATTAGTGATATTCATGGGTTTCTCTGAAATGATGTGATATCTCTAAAGTACAGAAGCTTAAATTGACCTTCATTGATTCCTTGATAAATTATCACAGAAAAGTGGGATACCAACATCACTTTAAGCCTCCGTACAAAAGACGTCTTTCTTTGATTTGGAATCTTTGAAAGTCATCTCAGCTGCACTTTTCGTGATAATAAATCACAGCAATGCAGAATCCCAGATGGTCACTTTAAGCTTCCATAGCACACACACTGCTTCCTTCATAAACTGACTCTCACAATTGTAAGCCATACACCGTTCTTTTACAGGGTTCAGACCTATGGAAGGATTCTCACCATTTTGAAGACGTCCTGCCCCTCGTCGTAGTCCACACTCGCAAAGAACAACTTGTTGGAGTAGGACTGGGAGTAGCGCCAGGAGTTGGCCACAATCTGAAACTCGTCACTCACTTGCCTGAAATATTTAAAAAACCATCTAAATAAAGGAAAAAGCTGATCAAAATTTGCATTAAGTTTACGCAGTGGATATTGTGCCGTCATCGGCATTATATTTCCTACCGCTAATTAACCCTAACTCCCTAGGCATTTTTGCTAGGATGTAACCTCATCCTGCAAAAGTCCATGTGAAAATAGCAGACAACCTCAATCCTGCAAAATACTCCGTTATTTCTTGAATGTGGTCCTTGGAGGGGTGACCACTGCCTCAATCCTGCAAAATCCTCCAGCAATCACTGTAAATATGTTGAGGCAGAGCCAGTGACATCCTGGAGCAGTGCGGAGGATTTCAAGTATAATCTAGGCCTAAATTTATGCGCGGCTGAGCATAAACAACACAAGGTCCGGCCCAAGACCTTGACACAGTGCATCCTCCAAGATCAGCAACACACTTTTGCCGTGTAGCCTCAATCCTGCCAAATCCTCCAATTTGCAAAGAGGATTTGAGAAGGTTAGGGTTAATGTCTCATTTTAATTATTTAATCATTTTATTTTTTTCTTAACAAGTAACTTTAAGATGGTATTAAAAAATCACTTTTGAAATAGATGGTCAGAAATATATGGAGGCAATAAAGTTTTCCTCGGATTGGCTGATTTTCTCCTTTTTTCACTATTCTTGTATGCCACTGAAAACTGAAAAACACTGCAGGAAGTCTTGCAAAGCTTGAAATTTTCTCTTTTGCTGTGACTTGCATGCCTGACATAAACAGGAACAAAAAACCGGATAATATTCCAGAGCCGCGGCAACTTTGCCCCAGACTTACCGACACACGGTGCACTTGCGCTGGGGTTGCATTGCAGTCAGCATGATGACCATGGAGTAGTTGCGCGGCGTGGACTTCACGTACTGTCGGAACTTGTCGCCGTTCATGCGGATGATGACGCGCTTGGTGCTCCAGTCCATCAGCTGTTTGACCCTCTCACCCAAAGCCTCCTGCGGTAACGAGAAAGTATGATAACTTTACGGTTAAACGTAACGTACATAAGATCATTTGCTACTTGTGCATTTTTTTTCATTTGAAGCAACAAAATTGCTTAAAATCTTAAGTAGGGGACATATTAACAACTAACTTGTGAAAGGTTTAGCTCATACATTTTGAGACATCAGGAATTTTACAAAACGTGTTGGGCTGATATGCTAAGAACCACTTCGGCCGCCTTCACGCTACATTTCCATGGGTTTCCAAATTTATTGTGACAGCACTGAGCAGGATGTAACGGGAGGCCAAGTGGGCAGTTGGGATTACTTTTGGCATTATTTATATGTATGTTTAAGTTGAAATTGTAACATTAAATGATTATTAAGAAACGATGTCCCCTTTTTAAAAATCTTGGGGGGTTTTGGGGGTCAGATTTTTCAGTGGTTATATTCCCAAGTCATCATCATAAGTATCGCGATACACATTTTTTTATTGTGAGTATCAAAGCATCAGCCCTATTTGAGGCAATATTACCATATGCGAAGTTCACTAATTTTCCTCTGTATTGACTAACAACCCGCGCCCCCAGATAGCAATTTCATGTCATCAAAGTCAATTTGAGCAGTGAGAAAATACAAGCATTTTCTTAGAAAACACTTAGAATTTTTCAGTCCAATCTCATAGGGTTTGTACACAGGGTGTTGAGTGAACTTCGTATATGGAAATCTTTCCCTATTTGACAATATGTACATGTGCAAAATATATTGCAAATGTATACAATAAAAAATGGCAGTGTATATTTTGCCGGAGACGGCAAACCTTTAGTAAACGTTAGTTTGCCGGAGGGGCAATAGGGGTCAGACAAGTCGACCGTTGAGACAACTCGACTCGGGACAACTCGACCGTTGAGACAACTCGACCGTTGAGACAACTCGACCGTTGAGACAACTCGACCGTATGTGCGATAAATGGAAAGACAAGTCGACCGTTGAGACAAGTCGCCTCGCATGTTTTGGGCCTAGTTTCGGGGATAGTACCGGGGATTTTGACAGCGGCTGATCGCAGTTTGGGAGTGATGACACATGAGGTTTTTTTAGTTGCATATAACAGAGCCAATATAGCGCAGTGTGATTGTCCGTGCACATCGTTCGTTTTTTTCAAGGCCACGTGCGCGCATCCCCGGTCAACGTGGCCGTACCGTGCACGGTGGCATCGTTTGTGCCGGGCCTGTGCGCCCATTTGCCGCGCCGGTCGACGTGCCCGCGTGCCGGGCCCGGCTCGGTCCTCGCAGCCGGGCGGGGCGCACCGGCCCGACGCGAGGCCCTCTGTACATCGAGTATGCCCGCGCCGCACCTGGGATCGGTCTTGCCACAGATTTGTGCAACTTTTTCTGCTCCACGTGTATTCATTTCCATTAAGTCGAGCAGTCTCAACGGTCGAGTTGTCCCGAGTCGAGTTGTCTCAACGGTCGACCTGTCTCAACGGTCGAGTTGTCTCAACGGTCGACTTGTCTGACATTCTTGCCAGATATGCACTGAACATGCGCAGTTACTGTTTTTTTGTACTTAAACATTTTCCGGTGACAAGTTTTAGTCTGGCTCCATGCCAAAATTATCGTTGTTACCTCGTATTCACAAGATGGGATTCAGACCATTTTATAATTTCGGACTTTATTTCCCTTTTAAAAAAAATCCTCCAGAGCCACAAATCTGAAAAAGAAAATGTAATAGGCCTACTCTGCAAAAAATGTTTGAGACATGTTAAAATAATAAAAGAAGAATATTCTTATTTATTTGGGGATGAGAAAAAAACCCTTAAAAATGTGGTGCGGTCGGAATCGAATGTGAGTCATCCCGCTTACTAAAGCCTTTGCTTAACCATTACACCAAACGTGCTACACAACTTTTGGTGGGAATTTAATACATCTTATAATTCAGCCCTATTTTAAAGAGTACAGCGCCCTCTGTTGATATGGATTGCCGCCGGCAAACCTTTAGTAATCGTTAGTTTGCCGTCATTACCTCCGGCAAAATATCCACTTAGCCCACTATCTTTATTTTACACACATTTTGACTTTTGGTTCGTCTATAAAATACAACGCAAAAGAGGTTAAAATAAATGCAAAGATTGGCTACTTACATCCTTCTTTTTACCTAATGCTGCAGGTGACAAAATCACCAAAATCAGGAAAATACATCCAGAAATTTGCATGATTTTCCAGAGCGGAAATTTTGTGCAGCCCTCCATGTTTTTCAGTCGCATTGAAGGACCGGTCCGAAGCCGTGTTTAACGTCCACTCTGATTGGCAGTACGCGGAGCGCTGCCCACGAAATGTCCAATAAGCAATCGTTTTGTTTGGCCTTTGGGAGAAATAGGCAGGGATCGTCTACTTGTGCTAGTGTCGGTAGCTGAGTGGCTAGCTAGCAGAAGTCAGGGATCTTCTTCAATCTTCGGATTCGAAAATTAAAACAAAACACCATCTATTGTTATTAATGGTTTATTTTATTAAAGTTTCAGGGCCAAAAGGCCAAATTGCAGTTTAGGTTACAATCAGTACTTAAAAATCGTTTCATCGGCACGCAACCGTAAACTCCCCCCCCCCGTTTCCCGAAATCTAGATCCACCCCTGAAGAAGTGAAAGCCGAATGGCGCGGCATGGTGCTTGGTGTGCGCGCCCTCACGCGATCAAAACAGATTTTTCTTCAGACCGGACTGCGGTGAACTGTTCGCTGCAGCTGATGAATGATCAAAATATTGAGAGAATCGTTCTATAATCAGCGGTAAGTCACCTTTTCCCCACTGTATATGGTATATCCAACAATCGTATTTCCTGCTGATCTGGGTTTTTGTAATGTGTGTTCATGGTTTTGTGCATCTATTCTTCCCTAGAACCATCCGTGATTGGAATAGGCTACCCCTTGAGTTTTGACATTACTACACGACCGACCCTTGTTAATTTTAAAGCTGCCCTCACGAACTAGACATCGTCTACACCCCGCGGCGTCATGGAACTTTTAGTTCTGTTGCCGTGTACCAAGTGATGATGATGAAAATCAGAAGCTACGGGATCGTCAGTCCCGGCCCAAAGAAACGACGAGGAGGGATCTAGGCCTATTTCGGCGCACTCGCATTCAATTTGCTTTGGACAACGCGCGCGTGTTGCAAGCGTTACCTGCGCCGATTATGGTGACTCGAGGATACAAATACAATGGTTTACGTGCATGGTGTAGGAATCGGCCTACGGTACGGGAAACAGAGCCCATGGATTCGAACACGTACAGCGATCGTGTATCTACTCTACAGGCCCGGTTCAGTCAAAATAAACTTGCACGGATTGGTCAACTCGTACGCGAGAAAACTCGTATGTGAACCAACTCGTACGCGCGACAACTCGTACGCGCGACAACTCATACGTGAACTAACTCGTACACCAGCCAACTCGTAAGCGGGCCGAAATTAGCCAATTTAAAGAAATTGAACGATATACACCGTTGCAAGATAGGACCGAGTCAAGAATTGTCAACCACATTATAATTTTGACAGCAGGCCGCTGTAGTTTTCAGTTAAATAATGTTATAGAGCTGGGAAAATTTATCAAATTTGTTCTGGCCTTGACATGATCGCCAAAATTACTGTACCGGTAGCTTGAGTAACTCCACTCTCCAGCTGACATGCTCATATTCATTTACATGTGAATGAATATGAGCATGTCAGCTGGAGTTACTCAAGCTACTGTACCGGTATGATTTTTTACCTGCTTAAATTTATACTGTACGATTTTTTTGAATGACTGTACATGTATGATATGATTGTAGCCATATGTGTTTTCAACAATTTCAATTCCAAATCCAATAAAGCTACCATGTTCAAAAGTTTTGATGATAATTAAAAATAAACGATAATGTTGCGACCGATGTGTCAGACTCGGATTTGGGCAAGCACGTCAAACCACGCGACTAGTGTGGAGAATTTGTCAAGACATACAATGATTCGATTTACACAGCGCGGGGCTCTGTTTTTAGCAGTGTACATGGTGTATTGTTGGAAGTCTACAAATGCAGCAGACATTATATGATTTAAATTCTCACTACAAGTGGAATTGTCTTGTCATATAGTGCACGGTGTTGACCAGGACATGTGGTAAAGAATGTTGCAACCTGACGCTGCTTTCTTCTTCATATATCATCTCAATGAAGGTCAGTCATTGCAAAAATGATGATAAGACATGAATCTAGGACTGAGAAACATTTCCAATTTTGTTAGGAAATACTTAAAAAATGTTCTAGACTCTCCAATGACTTTGTACACAACCACTGAAGTGGCGTCGGGTTGCAACATTCTTTCCGACATGTGTTTGATGGTCCGGGGAAAAAGTTATAACTTTTTGTTACGACCAATAACAATCTGATTTGAAAATCAACTACACCACTCAGTAACACAAAATACTCCCCTTCAAAAAAAATTGTGCCACATACTGAACTCATCACATACTGACAGCCTGGCCCAAGTCACTGTTCAAGGTGTGATGGCGATAATTGAGTGTTAGGATAAAGTCCTGGGTCTAATCACTCGTTACACGCTTCATTAAATTTGGATAGCCACTTTATATCAGTTGCATCATGATTCATGACTGCAACCGTTATCATTTTGCCAAATTATCCTGTAGACTTTTAAAGGGACAAGGGTGCAAGGTTTTGGTTTTAGTGGGAGAGAAGCACACCAAATACACCATAAATGGCTATTTTGTTGGACAGTCAATATTGTTACAAACAAATTGTTACAAACAAATGTAATTTAGCCATCCTGCTGTCTGAACAGTCACAGACAGTCAAAAAAATAAATCCTCTTCCCCTGCCATACACAGGCTAGTCACCAACAGTCGGATCATATTTCATGCAAGCTCTGTGACTAGTCAAATTCAGTCAACAGACAAAAGCAGGCAAGAAGTACATGTAGGCACAGCTGGCTTATCGATTACCTACAGTCAAAGCATAGCTGTATCAAGTTACATAAACAGTCACAGCCAGTCAATCCTGCTTTATGTACATGTAGGCTGGGAGCTCTTTAACTGTTGAAAACAGTCACTTGATTGATTTTGACTGAAGGACAACTTTGCACAGAATGTATGTTTGCACAGGAGAGTTAATTTATAACATTTAACCCTTCTTCTATTTAAACAGTGACAGACAGTCAAAATTCACTTCCACTTCTCCTGCTCCTACTTTTAACAAAGGCTAGTCACCAGCAGTCAGATCATATACCATGCAAGCACTGTGACTAGTCAAACTGGGTCAACAGACAAAGCAGGCAAGTGCAAAGTAGTCCTTTCAGTCAAAATCAATCAAGTGACTGTTTTCAACAGTTAAACATAAAACAGCTGTTTCATCACTCTCCCGGAGTCAAAGCATAGCTGTATCAAGTTACTTAAACAGTCCCAGCCAGTCAATCCTGCTTCATGTACCGGCGCGGTAGGCTGGGAATTCTTAACTGTTGAAGACAGTCACTTGATTGATTTGACTGAAAGGACTACTTTGCACAGAATTATGTTTGCATAGGAGGGTTAACCCTAACCACCCCAAATCCATCAGAATCCATCCCCCCATTTTGGTGGATATTGGGGGACTTGGTCCAGTAGGCCTGGTGTGACTAAATGTTGATGGAGTATGATGGACTTGGGCCTGAAGGCCTGAAGCAGTGCTAGGGGTATCCGATTGATTTTGCCTAGCTTCCTGATGTACTGCTATTATAAGCCATGCGTATTTTTGTAATTGATAGCACAGCGATTGATGGATTTTGATAGACTTGGTCCAGTTCTTAACAAAAGACACTAGGGAGTATGGAACTTAAGCAACTTGGACACTGTGTTTTTCAATTCACGACAAATTTTGGACACCCCAATTTTCTTAAATGCTAGCTCAAACCCTGCTCTAGTTTGTACACATAATACATGGACCATGTTGTACCACGGACCATCTGTGGTTGTACCCAATTTGTATGGTCTTGGATCGAGGTTAGTTGAGCTTCATTGTTAGTTTCCTGCTGGGTACTAGACCAGGATGTGCTTGATCAGAGCTGACTCACAGCAATGCTTTTCAAGATTTTAGTTACAGCATTCAGTCTGTGGTCTGTCGCCAGATAGACTGAGCTACACTAGTACACACGTGCAATAGGCCTACTGTTTACAGGTTTAGTCAGAAATTCAGGTAGGAACCGTGTTTTAATGTTCAATTAACCCTGAACATTGTAACTACCATACCATTTATGATCTACAATGCTCCAGATGGCAAATTGGATCAATACATGATGATGTATCTTGATGCTGTAATGTTCAGGGTTTAGCTTGGTCCCCACATGTATACATGTATCTATACATGTACATGTGTGTATACCTCTTTTTGTTTGTTCTTCGTATGCATTGGAGTTTGCATGGATGTGAGGCGTTCTAGCAAAATGAGACAGAACTGGGCAGAGGTTGAAGTGATGGTTTGCGGGTATTAGGAAAGAGAATAAAATTCTCTTTGCAAAACTGTTTGTTGCACTTCAATCATTTTGTCAGTCGGACATTCTGTTGACAAGTTATGGCTGTAAAAAGTTTGCATTTATCGACTAAATCTCCTGACGACGGGCAGAGCATACTGTTCGAAACGTTGAGTCCCTCCGGTCCTTTTCAGAACCACACATACTCACAAAAGAGATTTATTCACATGGTGCTACTGCAAACTCATCTTGGCATAAACTAAATACTGAGAAAAGGGCCTTTAAAGTTTCGAGTTTTGCATATTTGTCATGTTTGTGAAAATGAAAGATGACAATTGTTTTCTTCTTAAAAACACCTTTATTCCTGGAATTCTCTTAAATATATGTGTAGACATATCAAAGACCACAAATATCAATAAATCTTAAAATCAAACAAAATCGCCCACATTTGTTTTCTGGTGGTTTTTTTTGCATTTTCTCCACAACAGCCTGTGCCCATTTCCGTCTTATTGTGCAAGAACGCCTCACATATCTGGTAATAGCTGTACATACATACATGTATATATATACCGGTGGTATCTGGTAAATAACTGGCAAGTACAAATCAATGGGTCATTGTTAAGTGTTGGCGTGACTACAGTCGGACACCATAAATATTCATGAGCTTAACCCTAACCCACCTCACTCCTCCAAAATCCTCCTGGCGGTTTTAGAGGATTCTAGAGGATTGAGGATGAATGGTGATTGAATCAAATGAGGATTCTGGAGGATTGAGGATGAATGGTGATTGAAGCACATGAGGATTTTGGAGGATTGAGGATGAATGGTTAATGAAGCACAAGAGGATTTTGGAGGATTGAGGATGAATGCATTTTGAGGCAGGACTGTCTGATGATTTTGAAGGATTTGGCATTGGTTATCCTTCATTTAAACACGAGTGCAAAGTTTTGGGATGAGGAGGATTTTGGAGGATTGAGGATGAATGCATTTTAAGGCAGGACTGTCTGACAATTTTGAAAAATTTAGGCGGAGTTGCAAAATTTTGGAGGATTTTGGAGGATTGAGGATGGTTGTAAGCAACAAGGGCCTAGGGGGTTAGGGTTAATCCAAATTGTGCTCAGTGTAACAATGTGACGTCTACACTTCTAAACATTTAATGAAAACAATTCTAAACTCATTACAAATTTTCCAAAAAAGTGTGATAAACGGAAACCCTAATTATAAAAAAGGTTAACCTAGCACAAATAATTAATTATGTTTTCGAACCTATTTAATTTACAAATCCTTCGAAGCACTTCAATAC